GTCTTCCAGAGAAGTTTGCAGCTCCATCAAATACACATGCAGCCATCTGTTTGGGGTTCAATTGACAAGCATTTAACTCTTCTAAGATGTGGGTTGTCAGAGATGCAGCTGAAGTGTCTTCTATAAACTGAACATTTAGAAATTCATCTATTGATCTACCACTGATATCAAGATAATGTAGACAGTGACTTAATACTTGACACCCATTTGCATTGGTGCATTCATCAGCCATGTATGCACATTTTCTGAATGCGGTGAGAGAGTTCTTCACTTTTTTAACTGCTGAATCTTTCACTGTTGCACTGCATGCTTCGAACCAGTCAGCTGAGTTTCTTGTGAGTGTTGAGTTTCTTGAGAGTGTTGGGTCATCCTTTAGGATAGGTTGTAGATCCTTAATAATGCGTTGGAGGGGTTTTAGTTGGGGGCTGAAGGTGACCGCTAGTGGCGTTCTGTTATTTTCTTTGTTAGGCCTGTCCTGTAGTAGGTAACTTCTGGGAACTCTTCTGGCTCTATCAATCTGTTTCTTTACTTCTGCAGGTGGGTATTGTAGTTGTAAGAAAGCTTGACAGAGATCTTGTAGGTGTTTGTCTCTGTCTGAGGGGTTGGAGCAAATGCGGTTGTATCACAGAGCTTGGCTGTAGACGATGGATCGTGTGGTGTGGTCAGGGTGAAAGCTGGAGGCATGCAGGTAGGAATAGCGGTCAGTAGGTTTCCGGTATAGGGTGGTGTTTATGTGGCCATTGTTTATTAGCACTGTAGTGTCCAGGAAGTGGATCTCTTGTGTGGACTGGACGAGGCTGAGGTTGGTGGTGGGATGGAAATTGTTGAAATCATGGTGGAATTCCTCAAGGGCTTCTTTTCCATGGGTCCAGATGATGAAGATGTCATCAATATAGCGCAAGTAGAGTAGGATGACCCAACACTCTCACAAGTCTTGGGAGACAGGCCAGTCCTTGCCTACAGACAGCCCCGCAACCTGAAGCAAATACTCACCAACAACCACATACCACACAACAGAACCACTAACCCAGGAACTTATCCTTGCAACAAAGCCCTTGCCAATTGTGCCCACATATCTATTCAGGGGACACCATCACAGGGCCTAATAACATCAGCCACACTATCAGAGGCTCGTTCACCTGCACATCCACCAATGTGATATATGCCATCATGTGCCAGCAATGCCCCTCTGCCATGTACATTGCTCAAACTGGACAGTCTCTACGTAAAAGAATAAATGGACACAAATCAGATGTCAAGAATTATAACATTCATAAACCAGTCGAGAACACTTCAACTCTCTGGTCACCAATCACAGACATGAAGGCTATCTTAAAACAAAAAACTTCAAACAGACTCACAGAAACTGCTGAATTGGAATCATTTGCAAATTGGATACTATTAATTTAGGCTTAAATAGAGACTGGAGTGGCTAAGTCATTATGCAAGGTAGCCTGTTTCCTCTTGTTTTTTCTACCCCCCCCCAGATGTTCTGGTTTAACTTGGATTTAAACTTGGAGAGTGGTCAGTTTAGATGAGCTATTACCAGCAGGGGTGAGTTTGTCTGTGTATGGGGGTGGGGGGATGAGAAACTGGATCTATGCAGGAAATAGCTCCGCCACTTGACTATGTAAAGAGTTGTCACTTTGGATGGGCTAGCACCAGCAGGAGAGTGAATATGTGTGGGGGGGTGGAGGGTGAGAAAACCTGGATTTGTGCTGGAAATGGCCCACCTGTTGATCACTTTAGATAAGCTATTACCAGCAGGACAGTGGGGTGGGAGGAGGTATTGTTTCATATTCTCTGTGTGTATATAAAGTCTGCTGCAGTTTCCACGGTAAACATCTGATGAAGTGAGCTGTAGCTCACGAAAGCTCATGCTCAAATAAATTGGTTAGTCTCTAAGGTGCCACAAGTACTTTTCTTTCAGCTTGGAAAAGAGACTGTTGGGGTAGGGGAAGGGGGAGGGAGGGGAAGTCTATAAAATCTTGACTGGTGTGGAGAAAGTGAAAAGCTCCCTCACATAACACAAGAACTAGGGGTCACTCAATGACATTAATAGGCAGCAGGTTTAAAACCAAGCTCTGAGAGCCTCTGTTTTCCCAAAGCTGGGAGTGGACAACAGGGAATGGATCACTCAATAATTGCCCTGTTCTGTTAATTCCCTTTGAAGCACCTGGCATTGGCCACTGTCAGAAGTACTGGGCTAGATGAACCATTGGTCTGACCCAATATGGCCATTCTTATGTTCTTATGTAAAAATTAATTATAATATAATAAAAATGTTTAGTACAGAAACTCCCAAAACACCAGCCAAAATTGATCGCTCGGGCAACACAGCTCTGTCTGCTGGATACCTAGGCAGAGTAGGTGAGTTCATGTAAATACAATCTGGTCCTGAAGCCTTCCCCCCAACCCTGGCTCCTCATTAGCTGTCAGGGAAGAGCTCATTCAGACCTTGCTTACAAATCATAATTTTAAATTATAAGGTTGGCCAACATTGCCAAAATGAATGTGCCAACAATCAGAAAAAACAACAGCTGTATGAGGAAGCTAGTCTTTGTTCATGCTTTTCAAACCTATTATACTTTTTCAGGTACAAGTATTTGATCATACATTGTATATGCTTTTAATGTGTATATTAATGTTTCAGTTTCAATTCAAATTTCCAACCAATGACAAAATTGGCAACACTGTTGTAACTAGTTGACTAGTTTGACTAACTAGTTGACTAACTAGTTTTGGGGAAATCCAGGGAGGGTGTATAGCCCCCTGCGAGGGATGTAGGAAAGGCCTGGTTTCACTGAATTAAGTAAGTCTCCTGCCGCAGCACCTCAGTAGGTTACATCAAAGAGGAGCTGCAGTGACTAGGCATTTGGATGCCTGTGCCTTTAAGAACACAGGCCTGGGAAGCCCATGCTGAGAGGTAGTCTGTGGAAGGGGAAATAAAAAAGCCCCTCTGCTCTCCCCACCCTATTTTTTGGCCAAACACTAGTGTCTCAGTCCACCGGGGTAACTGTTTTGTCCTCTGCCCCTGCCTGTGATGGGGTTTTGCCCTCTGTCACACTCTGGCAGTGCCTCACCCCTACGCTTAACTGTTTCCTTCCCCCACCCCATCCCTGATTTTGCTTTCAGCCCCTATCCTATCCCTGCTTCCAGCTGCTTGACCCCCTGGCCAGTCAATTTTCAACCCCTGCTCAGACCCTGGCCACCCTCCTCCTCTGATTTTCCCCCCTTTGCCCCTTTTTAACGCCTGTAAAAAGCAGTCAGCAGAATCTAATGGCTAATAAGGTCCGGGTGAAGGGCAGTGGCTTCAGAAGATGTTACTAATCATGCTCCGTTTGTGTGAACATGCAAAAAAGCCCTTCTGATCAAATAAAAAGGCCCCTCTGCCTGGCCACCCTATTTTTTTGGCCAAACACTGGTGTCTCAGTCCAGTGGTGTAACTGTTGCCCGCTCTGCCCCTTTCTGTGCTGGGGTTTTACCCTCTGCCTCCCTCTGGCAGTGCCTCACCCCGGGCTTAACTCTATCTTCTCCCTCCCCATCCCTGATTTTGCCTTCAGCCCCTATTGTAACCCTGCTTCCAGCTGCTTGACCCTTCTGACCAGTCAATTTTTGGAGGGGGGGTTGTGTGTGACCAGGGGTCAATTTACCCCCTTTTAGACTCTGTAAAAAGCAGTCAGCAGAATCTTATGGCTAATAAGGGCAGGGTGAAAGGAAGTGGCTTCAGTAAATGATACTGAGCATGCTCAGTTTGTGTGAGCATGCTCACTACACCCTAAATAGCACATTCCTACAAATAGCAGTTTCCTACACTACATCTGTGCTGTTCCCAAAACTACTGGAATGTCCTGCCATCTGGGAAAATTAGCTATTCTGCACTAGCTGTCCATGTGGACAGTCATATTCTGCACTACAAGTACCTTTTTGTGGTTTAGGTTAGTCCACTTCCAATAGCAATAGCTAGTCTAGGCTTTTGCCCTCGGTAGACAAGCCTTAACTTAAAAAAAAAAACAAAGCTGAGAGTTTCACTTATATGACCTGACTCCAGGAGCTGGGGCTTTACAAAAAAACCAAATCAAATATTGTGATGCTGGCAATGGTGGCAACGTTCCTCTACCCCCAGGGTCCACATGAGTTTGATGCTGCTGGAGCAGAGATCTTGGCTTAAGGCTTTGCAAAACGTTACACCAGAACCTCCAATTAGTGCCCCAATGCCACAGAACTGCATGGATTTAACTTGCAATGTTTTGCATTGTCCTGTTGAACACTTGGGAGTAAAGTTAAGCATTCGTATAAGTCACTGCAAGATCTGGCCCCAGGTGACTTTTTCTTAGGTTTGCGGCTTTGCGACAGATTTTAAAATGGGACCAACTTTGCTCAAAGGCCTGTAAAACTTTTGATAAGCCTGAGCCCCAGTCCTACTGGACTCCACACAGGCACCAGAAACTGAAAAAAACCCAGCAAACACTCTTACAAGCTGTATTACAAGAGCCCACTCAACTCTTAGTGGAAAACAACCTAAACACCAGTTTTACAAACTTCACTGGGTTATGGGACCTAAACCACAGTTGTTGGTGGGAGGAGGGGTAATAAGTTCTGTGGTTACTCACCTCAAGCCTCATGAAACTTGTAGAACTGGTATTTATGTTGATTTCAGCTAAAAAATACCACTTTGTAATATTGTGTTGGTCTTCTATAAAATTTGATGTAGCGGCACAAGACAGCCATATGCCATACTACAAATATTTTTGAATGACCCTTTTTATTTTACAATGATATCTCTATTTAAAATACAGAAGTGCAGACGGTCAAGGAATAGAAGTTACCCTCCCATCGCTCTAGAAATGCCACAGATTTCAGGAGGGAAACATCCTGTAGGACAGATTTCTTTTGCCTTTGGTTATAAGATACATTCACTCTGACGTAAAAGATAAATGCTGATAATGATTAACATCAAACTGGAAAATGGGGGCATTTCAAATAACCTGACAGTTTAGCCTCTGTGTCAGTGACATGCTTGAAAGGAGAGAAATATACTGTAACCTAGATTTCAAAGGTCACAGTAATACTGTCCCAAGCATTTTTAAAGCTATGATTTATGTGCCAGTATATTAGCAATATGGATGGTTTCAAGGTTTGGTCTGTTCTGCTGATTATAGTTTACAGCCTGTGCCAAAGATGTATGCTGTGCGGTATTTCAACACATATTGAAATAGGTAAGGTACATACAAAATATGCATTTTAGCATAATATTTTAAATTGCTTGCAAAGGGAAATGAATACAGGATTGGATAGAAAATTGGATCACTGGAAAGTGAAGGACAGTGATCATGCAAATTCCATCTTTCTTAGACTAAATAGCAGATATGAATGTCTGAGTATATATCCTGTCTGGAACTTGTGCTGTAGCACTAGTTTGCCTGTTTATTTTTATGTTAGGTGTTTAAATCAATGTGAATTCTTCTATCTTCTAAAATGTGTGCGTCATGAAATTGGAATGTTTGTATTCGTGTCTATGGATCTTATACAAAAATGGTCTGGTTTTCAGAAAGAAGAGAAGAATAGCCTAATGCTTAACTTCACCAATACTATCATCTTTCTGATCACTGAATATGGGATATTTAAATTAGAAGTGATTTTCTAGGAAATAATTTATGGCTTATCTATATTTCTAAATGTTCTTTGTTGCTACATGGGTGTCTTAATTATCTCAGCTTTCTCCTTTCGAATTGTTTTTAATAATATTGTACATTTTCAAAGCACTATATATTAACTTCTTTGTAAAATAGGTAGTGAAGTATGATGCTGAATTTGTCATATAAGATTAAAAGTGCCAAAGTCTCTGTTGTACTTTTATTTCTGGTAGGTAGATATCCAGTTAAGCTAATGCCAAATAACATTATGCAACACAGAAGCAAGGAGAGATGGGGAAAACTGGGGTGGAGGGCAGGGGAAGAGGAATCAGAAATATTTTTGTTTGAATTTTTAAATAAATTCATTTTATTATTGCTTTCTGTAAATATTCTACCAAATGAGTTTACTGCAAGAATATTAATGGAAACAGTGAATTTTAAGTGAATGTTGCAGAGTGTTTACTCACAACAAATTTTAAATTCATAATTGGTGAGTACTTGCACCAGAAATCGTGACTCTTAGTATTCATCTTAACCAAAAAGGGAATAAAAACATAGCATGTGGCCTTTGGCCAATCAAACTTCTCAAATGTCAAATATTGAATATTTGCAACTGTGAACAAGTTAGAATAAGATTATGCACAGAATTTATTCAGGGCCACGTTGGGCCCTCTTCTTGTGAGTAGTACTGTAGGCCTGGATTCTGCAAAGACATATGCAGATGCTTAACTTTATACACCGTGAGTAGTCCCATTGAAATTAATAGGACAACTCCATAGTGCATAAAGTTAAGTAGGTGCATACGTCTTTGCAGGATTTAGGCTTAAGGTGCTTACTGTGAATAAGGGTGGCAGAATCTGGTCCTCTGTCAGTAACTTGAAATAACACAAATGAGATAATTCCAAACTGCTTGCAGAAAATTCAGAGACAAAATTGACAGATTTATTCCAAATTTAATCTGTTCATTCTAATCAAGGACAAAATTGATATATTTTCCAAATTAAAAAAGGCTACATTTATTTAATCCAGTGGTTCCCAAACTTGTTCCGCCGCTTGTGCAGGGAAAGCCCCTGGCGGGCCAGGCCAGTTTGTTTACTTGCCATGTCCGCAGATTCGGCTGATCGTGACTCCCAGTGGCCGCGGTTCACTGCTCCAGGCCAATGGGGGCTGCTGGAAGCGGCAGCCAGTACGTCCCTTGGCCTGTGCTGCTTCCAGCAGCCCCCATTGGCCTGGAGCAGCGAATCGCAGCCACTGGGAGCCACGATCGGCCAAACCTGCGGATGCGGCAGGTAAACAAACCGGCCCAGTCCGCCAGGGGCTTTCTCTGCCCAAGCGGCAGAACAAGTTTGGGAACCACTGATTTAACCTATTGATCATGATTACCTGAATAATGTTCCTTATAATTTGCTATTGGGTCACAATTTTTAACCATATTTTAGTTATTTGTCTGAAAATACCACTCGTTGGACTCTACTTGCACTCTACTTGCTATGGCCATACAAAAAGATTTGAATGGACAAACATATACATCTGAGTGGAGCTCCATTGAAGTCCATTCCTGAGGCTCTACCATTTTAAAGATCTGTCTGCGTAGATCAACTTGCAGAATCAATATATTTGATTAATATTGTGTATGGAGGAATAGAGGAAATAAATTGCCAATCCAAGAATTCTAGGCACTGGAAATTATATCCCTTCTCTGTTTAAAAAGTTCTGTATAGAACTACGAAGTTGGAAAGGCCTATTAAGTCATCTTGTCTATTCCCTTGCTGATGTGGGATTGTTCCTTAAATTGTCTGTGCGTGCTTTGTATAATATAGTTTTCAATGGTCCAAGTTACATTAATAGTCAAAATGAAACCAGTATTGATAGCAAGAATTGAATAGCTGCTGGGTTTGCAGTTTAACCCAATCCTTTTACAGAGAGAATATGTGTAAATAAATTGTCTCCAGGGACTGTCACATTAACACAAGTCAAATGTAATCAAAGTTTGAACAATATTTCACTTTAAAAGAGTGATGTCCATTTATTTTATTCTGTAGTGTGAAGCTTGTCTAGTAAGTACTGCTTGGCAATATGCGTGCCTAACCGATCAATGAGTAAACACTGTTTTTACTTTGCTGACTGCAGATTTTTGTTTTTCATGCATGGTAAAAATTAATCAAGTAGTTAAACATTAACAATGGGTCACAGGTTATATCTGATTCAATACCTTAGGGGAACAAAGAAACTTAAATGCTATGTCTATAATAAGAATTAATTAAAATTACAAGGCTACTTGGAATATAAGTTTGAAAGTAATTCTATCTAGTGGTACCTAGAATTTTGTGGAACACACTGTATCTGAGCTGTGTGAATGAGCATTTCATTTCTTAATTGTGATAGTCTGGGCTAGGATGTAAGGAGACCCTTTGTTGTGTTACAGTACTAGGCTGGCCAATGCAGCTTGTGATTTCTCTGAATGGGAGAGTCAAGGAGAACAAGGTCTCAGTCTGTGTCCAAAAGCATCAAAGAAACATCGTCTTTGCATTTATTAAAACCGAGTGACGTCTATTTGCTATGAGGAAGAACATGTCATTTACCACATGGGAAATGTCAAGAGGAGTGATGTGCTGTACGCCAATGTCACTTGTGTTATAAGTACTCTTAAATTCATTCTAGCACCTACATTTTGACAGTACTTCTAACTAAAGATGGGCCTAGCCACAGTACTTTTAAGTCAGTTTTTAATATTATATGTTTTTCAGCACATCGAGCTCTGGAATTTTTCAGTAAACATGAAGGGAATGTTAACTATAGAAAGGTAAGGAAGCATATTACTGCTTAATTGCGTATATGTTGTGACAATTTCCTCTGCCCTCTTTTTGTCTATTTGTCAATCTTCAGACAGTGAATTCTTCAGATTCACGCCTTTTCTGTGTGGAAAGTGCTTTGCCTATGCTGCATGCAACCAGAAATAAATATATAATAACTACCATTAGGTATATACTGTGTAGTTGTACAGAATTTTTTCTACTTGTATTCTTACCAACTATCTTAAATTAATTTGTATTCCTCTTGAGGTAGATGTCTGGAGGAATTAATCAATGACTCTTGGAATGGAGATTTAACAACAAAAACAAGTAACAAACAAGAGTCAAGTTTGTGTTTCATCAGCCACATGTAATATCACTTCAGATGACAGAAAAGGTTTGTGTAATTAGAGCCCACTTCTACAATCTTACAAGAGCCAGAAAAGCACTTTAAGCATATGCTTCTCTTTAAGTATGTCTGAGTAATTGCATTGAATGTGTGCATACAAACTTGTATATACATTAAAAGCTTTGTTATCTTGCATGTTGGGGAAATGGGGGGTGCCGGTAAATCAAAAATTCCAGTTAACTAAGAGTTATACTTACCAATGGAATATCAATTTTCAAAGAATTAGAATACAATAAAATGAATAAAGTAGAAAATAGTAAACAGGTACTTACCAATCGTGCAGTAGTACTGCACTGCAGAGTGGTTGGTTTCTTGAAGCACTTAGGTGTATTCAGGTACAGTTTTCTATACAGTAGGTTATCTTAAGACACTACATATCACTATGGCCAGCACATGGCATACGCCCAGATCACTAAAAATACACTTAATACTGAAACTGTACTGAACATAATTTTATCTTTCTTTGATGATTCAGAAGGCACTTCAGGATCTTGCAGTGCCTTGGGGTCAGCATTATCAACATCAATTATCATTGTATATGTAGAAGGTGTAGGAGATTGGGCTGAATCTGTAATGACCCTATGACACACTCTGGAAGCTGCTTTTTTTTAATGGTTTCAGAGTAGCAGCCGTGTTAGTCTGTATCCACAAAAAGAAAAGGAGTACTTGTGGCACCTTAGAGACTAACAAATTTATTTGAGCGTAAGCTTTTGTGAGCTAGAGCTCACTTCCTCGGATTCATGCAGTGGAAAATACAGTGGGGAGATTTTATATACACAGAGATGGGTGTTACCATACACACTGTATCGAGAGTGATCAGGTAAGGTGAGCTATTACCAGCAGGAGAGGAAAAAAACCTTTTGTAGGGATAATCAAGGTGGGCCATTTCCAGCAGTTGACAAGAACGTGTGAGGGAGGGGAGGGGGGGAGAAATAAACATGGGGAAATAGTTTTACTTTGTGTAATGACACATCCACTCCCAGTCTTTATTCAAGCCTAATGTAAGGGTGTCCACTTTGCAAATTAATTCCAAATTCAGCAGTCTCTCGTTGGAGTCTTTTTCTGAAGTTTTTTTGTTGAAGAATTGCAACTTTTAGGTCTGTAATCAAGTGACCAAAGAGATTGAAGTGTTCTCCGACTGGTTTTTGAATGATATCAGCTTGCTTACTTATCTTCTGCCTCTTTTGCATAAAAGTAGAGTGCAGAATGTGCAATTGCATAACTTCCTGGGCAGTACACTAGTCCCAGTTACTAGACTGAATATTTGTATTGGGAGATACCAGTAATGCTGGTTAATAGAGCTTTCTGGTTGCTAAAAGTGCTGGATAACACAGTTTTTACTGTAGTGTGTTTAAAGTGCTTTTGGTATCCTTCAATGCAATATAAATTTTATTATTTATATTTAGGCCTGTCAAGCGATTAAAAAAATTAATCGTGCGATTAATTGCACGGTTAAACAATAATAGAATACCATTTATTTAAATATTTTTGGATGTTTTCTACATTTTCAAATATATTGATTTCAGTTACAACACAGAATACAAAGTGTACAGTGCTTGCTTTATATTTATTTTTATTACAAATATTTGCACTGTAAAAAAACAGAACCACAAAAAAGAAAATCAACCTGCTGGTGGCATCTGACTCAGATGATGAAAATGAACATATGTCGGTGCGCGCTGCTTTGGATCGTTATGGAGCAAAACCCATCATCAGCATGGACACATGTCCCCTGGAATGGTGATGGAAGCATGAAGTGACATATGAATCTTTAGTGCATCTGGCACATAAATATCTTGTGATGCCGGCTACAACAGTGCCATGCAAATGCTTGTTCTCACTTTCAGATGACATTGTAAACAAGAAGAGGCAGCATTATCGCCTGCAAATTGTAACCAAACTTGTTTTTCTGAGTGATTGGCTGAACAAGAAGTGGGACTGAGTGAACTTGCAAGTTCTAAAGTTTTACATTGTATTTGTTTTTGAGTGCAGTTATGTAACAAAAAAATTCTACATCTGTAAGTTGCACTTTCACAATGAAGAGATTGCACTACAGTACTTTTATGAGGTGAATTGAAAAATACTGTTTCTTTTATCATTTTTACGGTGCAAATATTTGTAATCAAAAATACAAATATAAAGTGAGCACTGTACATGTTGTATTCTGTGTTGTAATAGAAATCAATATATTTGAAAATGTAGAAAAACATCCAAAATATTTAATAAATTTCCATTGGTATTCTATTGTTTAACAGTGCGATTAATCGTGATTAATTTTTTTAAGCGCAATTAATTTTTTTGAGTTAGTCGTGTGAGTTAACTGTGATTAATCGACAGTCCTATTTATATTATTTGGTGTTTTCTCAGAGTACTGGTTTTACTTAAGTGTCTGTCCAATATTTTATTTTTTGTTATATAATGTAAATATTTTTGTTTCTTGTTTTGTGTGTTTGTTTTTGAAATCACTACAATATAAACTAGTTAGTTTAGACTCTCTTTTTTTTCTGCCCCATCTCTAATCTTGCAAACTGAAGTAATGTATTTGACTATTAGTTTTACTTTGGCAATATCTTGCTGAAGTGTAAATGTTGTCTTTGACTCATTGCACCTTAAATATTCAGAATAACCTTTTTCTGTTGTCGTTAATTGTATTCTGATTTCTTGTTCCCTCATCCTTTCCTCTCACAGTTGTTACTAAACCACCAGGATGCATTTCAGGCTGGGAGCCTTTATCCTGATGCCTTTTATCCTGTTATCTGCAGGAATGGTAAGAAGAGGGTTTATTATAGTGGAGCTGTAGTTAAGGATAAGAACAATTTCTGTTTAAAGATACTCTTCTAAATGCTCTAAAATCTGCATGGTTCCTCGGATTGCTTTGAAATTTCGTGGCTTCCTGGAGCTCTGGGTAGGGATAGTAATCCACATTTGGGGTTATTTGAGCAAGGGGTTCCTGAGACACAATCCTCTGAAAGAATCAGCTCTTAAGGTTCATAGATTCTACTAGCTTTTTGGGCATGCCTGGCTTCTAAAGTTCTACTGGCATAATGGGACACAAAAGGGATGAGCTGGAAATGGTGGCAGAGGTGGGGGGAGAGACACTGTAGCGAGGCGCACACTGGGCCTCTCTGGTTTTGGCCCCCTGTTGCCCTCTCCAATCAGTCAGGAACACCTCGCTTGATGCAACACCAGTGTTCTTTATTTACAGTTGTTTTCCCGCCACTGCTTTCCACCTATGTATGGGTTTCGCAGCCAACTTTGCCAAGTGCAGGCCTGGCCAGCAACAGACCAGAAAGCTCCCAGTTACCTCTGTGCCTGGTCTTTTTCTTCCCTCCTTCCTCTGGCTTCCTTGCAGCCTTAATAACCCTGGCTAATGAGGCTGGCAGGTGCTGCCCATTACCAGGCAGACACAGGGCTATCCAGCCAGCTCCAATCCATTCCCCTTGATTGGGGTTGCAGTGGCAGGGGCTGATTAAGTGCTTCTCACTCAGCACCCTGTCACAGACACATGTCAGTTTGCTCTTAAGTTAGGTCTACACATTACTTCAGTAAAACTTACGTTGCTCAGGAGAGGGTGAATAATCCACACCCCTGAGCAACATAAGTTATACTGACCTAAGCAGCAGAGTGGACAGTGCTATGCCAGCTGGAGAGCTTCTCCTGCTGACATAGCTGCCACCTCTCACAGAGGCGGAGTTAAGCCGACAGGAGAGCTTTGTCCCATTGACTTGGAGTGTCTTCACCAGAAGCGCTACAGTGGCGCAGCTGCAGTGTAGACATAGCTTATCTCATAACTGTTTGGGGGCCTATTTGAAATCAATTTGAATCTTAATCCTTTTTTTTTGGAGAACAAAAGTCCATATAAAAAAATTACTACTACAACTGGCATTATTGGTACCAATAGCTACATCTTCCCATGCTTCCAATTCATCTCCCCTTAAAAGTGAAAGGAAAATAGTTGGCAGTGAAATCATCCAGGAGACCCTGTCGATTTTGTTAGCATTTATACAAAAATATCATGTTCTTTTCATCCATCTTCTTTCCGGATTCTAGAAAATCTATTTGCTCTCTTCCTCCCCCAGTACAAGAGTTGCACTTGGATAGAATTCAAAGTTACGCTACTAGGCACTGTAAAATGAACTCCCAGAGCATTACATAGGCACACAGAATTTGCTCTCCTGGCTCACTATCAGGTGAGACCAGATCTGAATTGTCCAAGTCCAAGCGAGGCCAGAGATTGATACTTCAGACAAAGACCTAATCTCCCCACACAAACCGATAATATACCTAATCAGTTTTGCAATCATGTACACAGAGATGATGACCATTTCCTTCCAGACCCCTGTGGAAGTCAGCTCATGCCCTGAAGCATGGGATTTTGATTTGCCTGGATTCCCCACTAGCTTGTATTACCATAAAATTGAGTGCATTCATTTGGCCACCAGCCGCTCTCTTCACTCTGCTAGACTTCTCCCCTTAAGGTGTAATATCCTTTTCTATATCTCACTTACTCAAAATCCATGAGGACAGAGAGGGGTTTGGAATAAGGCTTCCACATGTTTCCATCAAAAATATGGCTGGTAAATGTAGTATCTGTTTTGACAATATAAAATATGCACAAATGCTTTTCAGTGATTCTTGGTACAATAAAATGTTTCAAAAGTAACATTCTTTCAATGTGCAATTGAGCAGAAATCCAACATGTGGAGCAGTTCAAATCAAGGTATAATTTTGTCTTTTGATGTTGCAGGAATATTCCATCATGTTTCTGAAGACACTCACTGGGCACCATTTCTCAACACAAGTATCCATTACATCAGGAAGAAGTATCCTCAGCCTTGGGAGGAGGTAGGAAAACCCCTTGAATTTGCATGGGCTTCTTAAAGCCTCTACCAACCATCTTTTTCACCTAAACAATACTGCCAACTTCAAGAGATCAAAAATCATGAGTTGGACCCTACAAAATCACAAGATTAAAAAAAAATTATGTTTTTTAGGTCGGTCTCTTGATATTTGAACTCCCCTGCCGATCACCAGGGTGTGTGCATGTGACAATTAGTGTTGCCCACTTTCCGACATGTGGTTTGGGCCCCTCACCCCCACATCTGCTTTTCTCCTGCCCAGCAATTAATCCTGTTCCCCAATCCCCCATCAGTTCTGTCATCACCACCCCATCAGTTCACCCTCCCAGCACTCACCCCCACCTGCTCAGAACCCACCATCAATACAGCCCCATCAGCCCTCCAGCTGCCTCCAGGTGATGGTTCAGCTCTCCCAGCCTCACCTCTGCTCCTTTTAGGATTCTTTGCCCTCCCAAGGCCTGGCGAGGCTGCAATGGGGTACCTTCTCCCACTTCCCAGGCTGTCAGTCGGAGCCCAGTTGCCCGGGGCTGACAGCGATTTCAAAGTAAAATTAAGTCTCACTCATGATCTTGAGATAGAACTCTCAGATATCAGTGTGACTGGGGTCCCAGTGGGGGCCAGCTGAGGTCACTCAATTAGGGTGAACTGAAAAGAATGCGGCAGATAATCCCCAAAGTTGGGGGATATTTTTAATAATTAGATTTACCAAACCAGCATAAAACAGCTTCTTTATGATGACCTGACTGGTTGCCCAGATACCAACAACACAGTTCCCTTAAAGTAACCCAGCCGCAGGCCTCCATCCAGGTACCTAAGTCAAATATGATGAAGATCTCTGAAAATCTTATTTCATCATATAAAAGAAAAGGTTCTACCAATCCCAAAGGATCAGAAACATTACCTCCAAGTTAATGAATATTCCAGATCTTACCCAAATACACGCTACAGCCAATTCTTATTCACTAAACTAAAATTTATTTAAAAAGAAAAGGGAGCGAGTATGGTTAAAAGATCAATATACATAGACATGAGTTCAATTCTTGAGGTTCAGATACATAGCAGAGATGGTGAGCTTTGTAGTTGCAAAGAGTTCCTTTAAAATTTAGCTCATAGGTTATAGTCCAATGTCATATCATATTCAGGGTGTACCATCTTAACTGGGATCTCATCTTGCAACTCAAACTTCCCTGGATGAAGCTTAAGCAGACCTGAGATAAAAAGGATCAGGACCCAAGGAACTTTTATATAATTTCAGGTCTTCTTTGACAAGTTGGAGCCCCTTGGGGAGCAACAGGTAATCAGGTCTTTGAAGTGGGTCCATCATCGGTACTTAGCTATACGAATTAACATAAAACAATCCCCTGTTCCTCCACCATTCACCAATGATTTGCTATACATTTCAAAGAGGGATGAATACAGAGCTATCCCATGTTTACACTTCATTTAAATGTTAGGATGTTCTTTTGATCTTTGAATTGTCAGAATATGGCATAGACAGGGACTGTTTGTTACATTGTTGACCACTGCCCATACATATGTAAATACACAAAAACACAAACATTATCTCCCCACATGTCTTTAAGGGTTGAATTTGAGTCATTTATTTTGCAGGATGTTTAATCCTTTCTGGCCATGGGTCACAGTCAGGGTTGTTGTTTTTTTCCAGCCACAGCTGGATCATATCCTTGGGGGTCATATCCTAGCTCCTGCCCCCTGGAGAGTTTACCAGTTTTGTAAAATTTTGCCAGTCTTTGCTCAGGAGAATCCAGTAATTGCAATAGCAATTCAAGGCATTTTATAGATCAGCTCTGAAGTGCATTCCCAAACCTCCCAGGTTTAGGAATGCAAAGAGCTTGTGCAGAGGCTGCCTGCATTTTCCCTGGCTCTGAACAGTACTATTCATGTGGACTATTTAACTTTCATGAGCTGTAAAGTTGTTGAGAGGAAAAATGTATCAGTTCCATATTTTAAAAAAATCTCTAAAAGTGATCATGGTTTAGGGAAGACCACCGACTCTTGAAGAAACTCAACCAACACTGCTGAGGAATGAGTTCACAAATAACTTCTCTACTTTTTGCCAATGAAAGCTTGAAATAAATTTCTAATTAGACACAAGGTGGGACTTCATATCATATTGTATTAGAAGTGGATATGTCTATTCCTAAGTGACAAAGGAATTCCTCTGAAATTATTCAGTGCTTTATTCCTCTACCTTTATGTTGAGTAGTGCTTTCCCAGGTACTCCACTGCCTTGTCCATGAGACTACTAGCATAAGTATGGTTAAGTGGGCTCAGTCTTGAAGGATGTCGTCGTGCTGAATATTCTGTCCCTGTTCCAGCATAGCACTGGTATGCCTAACTCAAAGCAGATGAGTAGGCCTACTGACATCAGTAAAGTCAAGCATGTAACTCTGTAGACTTGGACCTAATGCAGTACTTAATGTTAGGAATATAACTAAATGCCTTGCAGGATCAGGAACAAAGACCCCGATCTTTGAAGGTATTTAGGCTACTAACTTCCAGTGAAATCAATGGGAGTTAGGCACCTAAATACCTTTGAGGTTCTGGGCCAGAGTTCTCGGCACCTTGCAATATAGAGCCCTTAGAGAGAAATGGTTGCTGAATTGTATATTTATTTGATGCACTGAGCAGATGAAATGCTAATAACTTTTTTTAAAGATAGTGGGGCTGTAGTAAAGTGATTGGACATTACTACGTACATATTATTCTTGTTTAGGCTACAGAGAAACTGGTGGCTTTCCTGTTTGGAATTGCCTCACATATGGTGGCAGATGTGAGCTGGCATAGCTTGGGCATTGATCAAGGATTTCTAAGGACCATGGGAGAAGTAAGTGTACATCATTTTTGTTGGTTAATCATATCTGTAGATATTGGTATTGGTAACTTGTATTTACAAATAGGCTTTTAACCCCAGGGGGAAAATCTAGGTCTCTGACCTTGGAAAGACTTATGTGCACATGCTTAACTTGACACACTGATATGAAAAAAGAAAAGGAGTACTTGTGGCATCTTAGAGACTAACCAATTTATTTGAGCATGAGCTTTCGTGAGCTACAGCTCACTTCATTGGATGCATACCGTGGAAACTGCAGCAGACTTTATATACACACAGAGAATATGAAACAATACCTCCTCCCACCCCACTGTCCTGCTGGTAATAGTGGGGTAACAGTGGGGTGGGAGGAGGTATTGTTTCATATTCTCTGTGTGTATATAAAGTCTGCTGCAGTTTCCACGGTATGCATCCGATGAAGTGAGCTGTAGCTCACGAAAGCTCATGCTCAAATAAATTGGTTAGTCTCTAAGGTGCCACAAGTACTCCTTTTCTTTTTGCGAATACAGACTAACACGGCTGTTACTCTGAAAACTGATATGAAAAACATTTTTCAGGACAAAGTTGGCTAAATTTTGGGCGTATCAACTTTAGTGTCACTTTACTTGTCCTTTTCTGTTTGTACTGAAGGATGAGCAAAATTGGCTTATTGTAATTGGTTTTATACATGAAATATTCTTTTTTTAATTTTTCCCCAGATTGATTTTCATGGCTCATACTCAGATGCTCATCGTACTGGTGATTTTGGTAATTTTTATTTTGACTGATATGAACCAATGAGGTCCCAGTCCCTCTGTGAATACCTAGTCTAGTGCATAGTCAAATTGTGGGGATGATTCTGCCACCTGTATGCTGATCTGATGGTGTACAGGAATCAGAAATGAGCCACAAGGACCCTGTCCTGTCTCCTTTCCATCATCCCGCAAGCCCTGGTGTAGGACCCATGTGGATGGTGGCTGGAAATAGGAAGGGTGATTGCCAAACTGTTCAGCATTATGTAGATTCTGGGCTGCAATGCAGGTGTTGTTGTAAATTAAGGAAGTGCCACTTCTCCCTCCCCATCCCTGCCTATGTCATTTTGGCTCCCTTTGGCAACAGATTCTGGATGGCAAGATTCTGCATAAAATCTCCTTTGCCCTCCCACCCTGGGGCTGCAGCTGCTGTGCATCTCTCAGAAGACATGCTGCAGAACCTGGCCATTCCTACTTAAAGCCAAAATGTGAGCAGGAGAACTTTAAAGTTAAACTGAGTCACTGCTCTGAGTTTAAATATGATAATGCTTTTATCATGTTCTGGAAATGCAGAATGCTTATCCTCTCTCTTCCTTGCAAGTATACCAGCAACATATTCCAAGTCAGAAATATTTACATACCTAAAATGGAACTCTACCGTATTAACACACACAGGAGCCACATGGAGTACTGCCAACGCCCAGTGATAGACACCATTTTAAAAAAGAAATTGATGTTGTGTGCTAATATAGTAAAACTGATTTTTTTTCCCCTCTCTCTAAATGTAGGAGGTGACGTATTAAGCCAATTTGAGCTTGATTTTAGTTACCTGAAAGCAGCCTGGTAAGAGCAATGTGCTTAAGCTGTCAATGTTTTGAAGAAATACTCTCATTAATTTTTGCTGCATGCATAACACATAGTGTAGATGATAATTTCAGGATGTTCTAATAAAGTAATATTTATTTGTATTATTGTAGCACCAAGAGGCCCCAACTAAGATCAGAAAGTCATTGTGCTAGGCACAGTACACACACAGGGTAAGAGAGAGTCCCTGCCCTGAAGAGCAGACAACGGGGAGGGAGAAAGGAAGTAGCAGTATCCCCAGTTTACACATGAGAAAACTGACACACAGAGATGAGGATATTCACACTGGTCACGCAGGAAACCAACAACTAAAAAAATTAGTTTTAAAAATAGTTTGCTGGAAAGTCCTAGCCGTTCTTTATAAAACTCAATGGCAATATCTTTATATGGGATACCTCTGTTTAGCTTAGCTATGTTTTGGTGTTTTTATGCAAATTCTTACTAGTTTTTTTTAGAAATAAAGATGTGTGGTTGTCAGTATTTAAATATTTTTCATTGTGTAATGAATTATAAAGTAGTCCCTATTGGTTATTTTATGTCCCATAAATTGAACATCACTAAGAGAAGATTTGAAATTAACATCAAACGGACACTTGCTTCAATTAAACCTCGACATTGTGAATCAAGAGTAATACATCATCATCAGGTGCATTTAAAAACAGTTTTAGACATTTTCTTGTAACTTACAATTTTCAGGTACAGTATTCTTATTTAACAATTACATTGAAACATTGATTATGTCTTATTTTGTGTGACATAGGGTGAAGTTCATCCCAGTGCAGAAGGTCCTTGTCACTGTTTAAGCCCTGTCATAGGTCTGTGCTGAAGGTGGGGTAGGAACAATTGTGCTCGCTCTGAATAGGCTGATCTTAGCAGGGCGAGGGATAGGCTGGGGACAGGCCAGAGGAGAGGACACAGTCCAAGACTAGGCAGATCTACTAGCCAAGAATCCCATGGAGGGAGTTATATAAAATGAATCGTGTTTTATTGGATTAAATGGGAAATATTAGTTATAACACCTCAGTATTGTTTTTTAGGTATGTACCAGTCAAAGACCTGCTAGCTATCTATAAGGAATATTATGGCCAAGAAGTAATAACCGAAGGCACAATTATTGACTGTACTTACCTGCAGTTTCTCGAATTGTAAGTCACTGAGTTGTGAACTTCTTATTTCACAAAACATATGGGGAAAAATTATAATAACTCTCATAGTAAATCACTGAACCTGCATCTCTATGTTAGAGATTAACCAAACTCAAACTTCTCTCTCAGACACCCTTGAACTTTGGGGAAATTTGGAATGAAGGTTTGGATCTGTATCTAAGTTTCACAGTTGTTACATTTTATAAATGAATATGACGTATATGATGAATACAATAGTTAGGCTGTATGTCTTAACAACATAAACCGGCCTGTGTTGCGAGGTAACAGCAATGTTTTGAAGCATGGCCATGTTGTAGCACTTCAGCAGTAAAACTGATCTTCTTCAATGAAGAGTGCAATATAGATGTGTAGCTATAGCTAGCTCTCTTGCCCACAGACATTTACACCAATGCAGACACTTCCAGAATACTACAGGTCTGAAGGATAGGAAGTGAAGTTGTTCCTCTTAGTTAAGAGAACCTGAAATGCGGTAATGACTACTTTAGAATATTTTGAGTCTCCTAGCTATGTTCATTAATTCAATTATTTACTAATTGGCTATGTCTACATTACCCAACAGTGGTGGCTACATATAGGGTATATATAGCTACATGCCACAGTGAAAAGCAAGCTGCATCCACGATGCCGTGTGTAGCTGCATGTGTCAGCGAAAGGCTCTGGCAGTGGAGAAAGGCTTCAGCAGCTCCCCCAGTGCCAGAGACTTTCGCTGCAACGAGTAAAGGCTCTGGCAGGAAAAGGCAATCGGGAAAGAATGAGCCTTCTGCTGCTGAGACACTGCCCACTCCCCACTGCCTACCTCCACCAGAGCCTTTCCCCACGGATAGTCTTTTCCTGGAGCGGGGAATGGCGTTAGCTGTGGGGAGGCAGTGGGACAGTACACTGCTAAAAATAGCAGTGTAGTTGGGGAGGCAATGCTTTGGCAAGTAGAGAGCCATGTGTACGTGGGTACCTACCCACAGGCTTCAGGTATGTCTTTACTTTATTGGCCTAAGGAGTGCCTCACACTCTACACTGCTATTTATACCTGCGCTGCAGGGAGTGTAGGTGTACCTGTCGTTGTGCTGAGTTGCAGAGCAGTGTAGAAAGCACAAATATTAAGAAATACCATCAAGATCACAATCTCTGATGTCACAGATCTTATGATGATATAGTAACAAACAAGGAAATCTCTCAAAGTTACCATCCTTAAAGTTGGATAAATACTGGGTTATTATATAGGGGTCCACAAAGGCTTTGAAATGGGGGTATTTTCATATTATTTGTTAATGAAACACATGTATCTGAAGATTATTTATTTTTGCAGGCATGGAGAAATGCTTGCTGTTGCCAAGGTAACTTATTTTTTTTTCTTGTTAACAACTAGGTACCTATTAATGTTAAGATACACTGAACCATTTCACTAATTATACTGTGTTTTGTTTCATAGCTTTTCCCATCGTATGCTAGCAAATCTCCATTTTTGGTGGAGAGGTTCCATGAGTATTTCCTTGGAGGACTGGATGACATGGCATTCTGGTCAAATAATATTTTTCAGCTAGCAAGCCACATGTTAGAAAATGGGACCAGGTGAGATGTTGTTTTATGTGTTAGGATGCACCTCTTATGAGACTACAGTAAAGTCAGATAAATTACCTTTGCTGTATTCAAGTTATGAAGTCTGTTTACTTGTTCTCAAGGAAGCAGGCCCAGTTCCAGAATTGGAGCCTAAAACTGAAGAACTTACTTAATTAGAATTCAATGAGACTTAGGGCCCAATCCAACTCCCAGTGAAATCAGAAGATTCTCGTTGAGTTCAGAGAGAGTTAAAATGAACCCTAATTGTCTAAGAGTTGCAAGTTCAGGCTCGTATTTAGCTGGTATTATTTTCATAGAAAACTTTATCACTATAATACCACTTACACAAATATTTCACCTTTGCCCAGATAGGTTCACAATCCTTCCTGTGGAGAGCAGATCTCAGACAATTATACTGTTTGTCTAGATGAATAATGTTACTGCATGAAAAATTGGAAAAAGCAAATCCTATAATCTGTTGTGTTACATGCTTGAAAAATGTCACTTTAATTAAAAACACTTTACCTTACTAGGATTAGCCGGTTATTAGTGCCAAAGTTGTTAAGTTGTTACATAATCACACATGAATTCTTATGGATTCTAAATAATTCATCAACAACTTAAAAAAATACAAAAGGAATTTCTAAGGAATATAACAATGCCCTAATTTTGAATAAGCAGCGGCTATTGAGGGAGATGACCTCACTTCCCAGAGGAGGAATCTCTATGGATGAAAGTTCTATTTAGTTTAACTTCCATTAGAATATATAAAAAACTGTGTGTTTTCAATATTTCTTCAGTGGCTGCTTCATACCTGAGAACCCTCTATTTATAGAGTGCAATGGGGAGCACAAGAACAGCAACATGTAAGTATAATCCTGAAAGCTGCAAAGATTTACCTCTGAAAGAAGATACGTCCATTTGTGTGGAAATCCAATTACATGGGTAACCTATCAAGGTCCCTCACTTCTCCTTTTTGGAAAAACTCTACTCCAGGGGAGAAATTTCTTCATGTATGAAGAGAGATACTTGTTTGATCTTTCCTTTGGGTGAAACTTAGGCCCTCCCCAACCCAAATAAATTTGCTTTGTATAGGGAAACTTTGTAAGAGATGGGAAGGGCTTCATCTTGTTGCCAGTGGATAGGGTATGGAGTAAGCACTCTGCCTCTCGGGACTGCTGTTCCAGCACCTGGATTGGAGTAGGAGTGCAACATCTGCACACCCACGCATGAGGTCTGGTGGCTCACTGGCAATACACCTGTCTCTCACACAGCTAACATCAAAAAGCCCTACTATGTTGGTCTACGTGCATATGGAGTCCAGCTCTGTAGGACACAGGGTGTGTAGTCACCTGCACATCCATTCCACAGCTAACTTCCTGCTTGTGTTGTGTATGGCCTCTGTACTACTGGTGAATTCTCATTGAACTGAAACTGCAATGAGTCAAACCTAAGAACATCAGAGACACGGGAGTTAGTCAAACTTTGATCATAAGAATTCAGATCATTCCACTAAAATCTACACTCTAAGGGGTATATTTTTATTCCAAGAATTCATAATTAATCCTGAGAATTACATTCAGGATAAATAACATATTTAGTTTAGATAACAAAAAGATTCAGAGTTTTCTCAGCCTGTATATCTGAAGCTTTCGTATGTAATTCAGTTCAGTTTGCATCTAACTGGTACCGAGGCAATGGAGTGGGGTGGGGCAGCATAGAGAAATGGGTCACAGAGAGCTAACATGTAGGGGGGGTGGGAGAGAAAAAGCAAATTGATAGAGATGGAGAAGAGAATCAGCAAATAGAAGTAGCGAGAGAAAGAGAGAAAGCAAGATGGCAGAGGAGTAGGAGTTTCCTCTGAGGGCTGTGTTTCCCATTTGTACCTAAACCTCTTCACCCTCACTAGTAAACAAACAACTAATGCCCCATGCACAAACTGAAAAAGACTGGGGATTTTTGCTTGACAGGTAGATATGGGTATAAATCTCACATTTTGGGGAAGCCTGGAGGTGTGAGAGCTGTGCTACCTTTATCTTACCACTTTGTTATTTTGGATTTCAAGTTAGAAGAGATTAGCTTTTTATTTTATTTTATTTCCCCCTGTCTGCTTCCAGTGTTAGTCAGGGGAGACAATTAAATCTTCTGTAACCCTAACTTGCATTCCTTGCAACTCAAATGACTTCAACGGAGTATAAATTGGAGCAGGATTTGGTCTAATGTGTGTATGGCAATGGATTTACTAGCCTGAGGAAAGGCAAGTAGAGTATTTTAGAAATATACTCTAGTAATAACTTTCACAAATCATTTATTTGCTTGCCTGTGTATTACTGCTATCAAGATCACTAATAACTCATAAAAGAATTTGCATGCTTCTGGCTTTAAAAGAAAAGAATTTCAATACCCAGGTTCAAGTGACTAGTGTACAATATCTCAATTCAAATCCATTTGTAGACAACATGGTTTGAATGTTGTTCTTACACATTTATAGTGAACCAGTAAAAATAATACTGATGATGAGGGGAAAACACCTAATGATGCTGATGTAATAGGTAATATCCAAGGACTAGATTCTCAGCTGGTGTTAACTGGCATCGTTCTACTAACATCAATAGAGTTAAACTGATGTAACTCAGTAGTGAACCTGGTTCTAAGATCTTTTTACTATAAATATTGGGTAAACGGCCACCTGAATGGCATATGGCATGATCTTCAGCTTTTCTCATTCTATAATCATGGCATAAAATCTTCAGTCCAGTCATTAAATTGCATTTAATGGGTTTATCTTGTTAATTGTCCCTTCAGCAACATTTCTAATTATTACTGCCTCTTTATCTCAACAGAATTATACAGTCCAAAAAGGAACAGCACAAGAGTGTGACTTCTTCACTCACACAAACAACTGAAAAGAATATAAATTATACGGAGAAAGGAGTTTATTTCAATATGCAATCCTGGGCAACAGTAAGTCTGTTTAGATCAATAGTGCAGGGGGAGATAGATGGGCCATGCAAAATTTGGATCTGCTATCAATTGTTTTAGTTCCTCAGTCTGGTACATTGCAGGAGGGAAGAGAGTCTCCAGATGGGGATGATAGCATTTTACACATTGGAACAGTGGTTATGTTGTTGTATATAATGATATTACAGTATGTCTTTAATATTCATGCTTCATAGCAGCAGCTGGTTGCCCGCACGGGTCAAGAAGGAATCCTACTCTTAGTGCTGTTGTGAATTCTTTCCTAGTTGTGCTTTGGATTTCTTAGGGTTCTGCCTCTTTCTGAAGCAGCACTAAGGGCCTGATCCAAAGTCCACTAAGTCATACTTCTGGGTGAATTTTGTGACACTGTGCGTGTGCAGAATTCATGTCCCTGGCACATTTCTTTGCTTCCCCACAGAAAAATGACTTCTGATGGGGAAGCAAAGGGAAGCTGCAAGAGCAGTCACATGCCCCTCCCCAGCAGTGCAGGCAGGTTGGTTCAGGCGCCCAGAGCAGCTGGCTGAGACATAAATCACCTCTGGGGGCGGGGAGAGGAAGGCGCTTGGCAGTCATGCATGTGAGAGGAAAAGAGAGAGAGACACACACTCTATCCTTCTTACTCTCTATTGCAGCGTGCTCAGCATGTAGGGACAGGGCTTCGGGGTGTTTCTGAGGAAGTAGGCATGGGGAAGGCTCTGTCCCCTCAGGCAGAGCAGAATGTAGCAGCCTGCCTGCTTAGTGAATTGTCCCATTGCCTTTATGAATTCCCCTCATGAATATAAAACAGGTGTAAAAGTTTTAAGGCTCCTTTACTTTGCCAGAGTGGTATAAAGGACAGAATGGCTGTATAAATGCTTATGGTGCTTTAGTGATTAAAACAGGTCTACATTTTTGGACTGAAAAAATTTCCTGTCAAAATGTGCTCCATGAACTGTTTGCTACTGACCTTTCTGGAGATGGTCAGTAGCCAATATAAATTGTGAGTTTGATTCCACAGCCCTCACTTGCTCTTCAGTTACCTATAATGTAACCCCGAGCGCATGGCTGTGTATATTTGCTGACTAATAACTAGAAATAAAGGATCAAACCTAGCTACCTTACTATTAGGCAAGGGGTTTTGGGTATTTCCTCCAATGTTCCTCACTTCCATTCTCCATCTGTTGTATTGTAGTTTAAATAAATTACTGAAATAACTGAAACCAGAGTGATTATATTGTGTTATTTTGACAAATAAAATATGCAGAATTTTAAAATAGTGTGTGCAGAATTTTTAATTTTTTGGCACAGAATTCCCCCAGGAGTAACTGAGATCAATGTAAAGACTCCCACTGACCTACATGGCACTTGGATCAGGTCCTTATTTGTTCAGAGTTCCTATTGGTAATGAAAATACACTGTGGATGTTTGTGGATGTTGTATTATTATTCCCATATTTCTTAAATTTTTACTTTTCTTTCAGAAGTCCCTCCACTTTATTAATGGTGCTTTTGCAAAGAATGTCAGGAGAGCATTTGCAGTCATGCATCAGCAATCCTCTAACCACGTCTCCAAGCCCACAGCCTCATACTTCCTGAAATCATCCTATGCCAGGCTTGGATGGTTGGTGCAGATTTCTCTCTCCTTTCTCCTTTCCCTCTCTCTTCATTTGTGAATATTTTAAGCAGCAGCAAAAGTATTAAGTCTTTATTCCTTGAAGAGATTTTAAAGATACAGTTATGGGCCATATTAACCAGGATGCAAATGCTTGCAGCTGCAGAACAACTTACTTTAGCTTGGCATTGCTATGAGGTATTGAGATATGGAGTCTTTTTGACTTTGGGGCACTGGTTTACTGCTGACCACATCCATATTGGTTGAAAGTCATGATCAAAGTTTGATCCAAAGCAAAACCCTGGTTCCAGATAACCCCAGTGCTTGGGAATGTTCAGATCTATATCAAAACTTTGTAGCTAGCCCCTATCTAATGAACAAGACCAAAACTCAAAATCTGATTATGTACAAACTTTGGGAAAGCTTGGATCCAGATTTGGGTCTGGATCTGAACAACATGGTTTGGGACCATCATTACCATCTGATGACCATTTAATAGCCTGTGTGACATGAATGGGTTATCTCAGTTGACACTATTCTTGGTAGCATTTTTAGTAGAGAAACCAAGGACTGAATCAGCATGGAGAATGATACCTACCCTCTCTCCTCTCCAGAAGAGGATCCATCCTGATTATGACAGACATGCAATGGGGAAGAGAGATGGAGGAAGCTTGCATTGCTGCTAGTCTTGCTGTATCTGCTCTGGGATAAAAACTGGAGACTTCAGTCTCCAGGGCTGTTAATCTTGCACCCTTCACCAGTATTAAATTAATTTACTAAATAAATGCTAGTTTGTTCTTTCTCTGTCAACCTCTGTGAGCTCCATCAAGTAACTGAGGCTCACCAAACCAAGTCTAATGAACAGATCAGAAATTGAGGCACAAATCATGGCGAATGTGAGCAGCACTCTGTCATGCTTCTTTGTTTCTGTCTTAGACACTGCTTGGTGGCTGCCAAATGCTACAATTCAGTAAATAAGAACACTTTCTGATGGCAATCCATGCAGATCACAGCCGTGTTAATAGAAGCTGCACCTCAGAGGCTCTAGTCAGTTTAGTTCAACAGAATAGGTCTGAGATTCAATAAGTTTAAATCACTTGGAAAATGGCTTTACAGACTCGTAGGACTACGAGATGGTGAAAGTGACCAGTTAGCTTTGAAATGTGAATGTTTACATTTGCTGAACCAATGTGGTAATTGATGCTATGCTTTTTGTTTTCTCCTTTGATGTACAGGGCAATGACCTCAGGTGACTTAAACAAAGATGGTTATGAGGATCTCGTGGTTGGAGCACCAGGATACAGCAGATTGGGCCATGTTCAGATAGGACGGGTGTACATAGTTTACAGTAATCGGTCAGGTTTGCCTCCAGTAAACATGGATCTAGACAAGGAAGCGGATCAAGTGCTGGAGGGTTGTCAGGTGGGGAATCAAGTCAGATATTTGTCATTTAAAACAATTTGCCTTTATTTTTTTATTAAAAGGTTAGTGCCCTTTATCCTTCCCTTGACTGATCAGTGGTGCTGTTAATTTTTTTCTCACAAAGAGCTGTCATCGTTTCTGAAATGTCTCTCCTGTAAATCAGGATGTTATGTGCATTTAAAGAAAAACAATCCCTGTTATTATAAAAGGTCCTTGTGGCTGAATTAAAGATGTTCTATTTATTCTTCTCTCCACCAGGCAAATTAACACTAAAACAAACTGGGACCCTTAACTGACACCGAGGTGGTGTCTATCCATGCCATGGGATCTATACTTAGCTACCAGGCCACTACATAGTTGGGCTGAAAACTGCCCTTTGCTTCTTTTTGAATACACGAGGGCTATTTATCTTACTTATTTTATAGTGCCTCTGACTATAGTAGCTATAATACTGCTTAGGCATTGCTTGGAGGAGCTGGGAACCCCGCAACTTATGAATTTGAGTCTTGAGAGCTCAGTACCTATTTCCACTGGGCTTGGGGAGGATGCGGCGCACATTGTGCTATACATGTTTAGGAATCTCCAACCTACCTATTGGAGGTGCTCTTTGTGGATTCACAGCTCCTCCAGATACAAAACAGAACAGGAAGCCACATAAATTACTCAGGTTTCAGAGTAGCAGCCGTGTTAGTCTGTATCCGCAAAAAGAAAAGGAGGACTTGTGGCACCTTAGAGACTAACACATTTATTTGAGCATAAGCTTTTGTGAGCTACAGCTCACTTCATCGGATGCATTCAGTGGAAAATACAGTGGGGAGATTTATATACACAGAGAATATGAAACAATGGGTGTTACCATACACACTGTAAGGGGGTATTGCCAATTTAGAGAAGGACCGGGAAATCATACAGGAAGATTTGGATGACCTTGTAAACTGGAGTAATAGTAATAGGATGAAATTTAATAGTGAGAAGTGTAAGGTTATGCATTTAGGGATTAATAACAAGAATTTTAGTTATAAGCTGGGGATGCATCAATTAGAAGTAACGGAGGAGGAGAAGGACCTTGAAGTATTGGTTGATCATAGGATGACTATGAGCTGGCAATGTGATATGGCCATGAAAAAAGCTAATGCGGTCTTGGGATGCATCAGGCGAGGTATTTCCAGTAGAAATAAGGAGGTTTTAGTACTGTTATACAAGGCACTGGTGAGACCTCACCTGGAATGCTGTGTGCAGTTCTGGTCTCCTATGTTTAAGAAGGATGAATTCAAACTGGAACAGGTACAGAGAAGGGCTACTAGGATGATCCGAGGAATGGAAAACCTGTCTTATGAAAAGAGACTCAAGGAGCTTGGCTTGTTTAGCCTAACTAAAAGAAGGTTGAGGGGAGATATGATTGCTCTCTATAAATATATCAGAGGGATAAATACCGGAGAGGGAGAGGAATTATTTAAGCTCAGTACCAATGTGGACACAAGAACAAATGGATATAAACTGGTCATTGGGAGGTTTAGACTTGAAATTAGACAAAGGTTTCTAACCATCAGAGGAGTGAAGTTTTGGAATAGCCTTCCAAGGGAAGCAGTGGGGGCAAAAGACCTATCTGGCTTTAAGATTAAACTCAATAAGTTTATGGAGGAGATGGTATGATGGGATAACATGATTTTGGTAATTTATTGATCTTTAAATATTCATGGTAAATAGGCCCAATGGCCTGTGAAGGGATGTTAGATGGAGTGGGATCTGAGTTACGACAGAAAATTCTTTCCTGGGTATCTGGCTGGTGAATCTTGCCTATATGCTCAGGGTTTAGCTGATAGCCATATTTGGGGTCGGGAAGGAATTTTCCTCCAGGACAGATTGGAAGAGGCCCTGGAGGTTTTTTGCCTTCCTCTGTAGCATGGGGCACGGGTCACTTGCTGGAGGATTCTCTGCTCCTTGAAGTCTTTAAACCATGATTTGAGGACTTGAATAGCTCAGACATAGGTGAGAGGTTTTTCGCAGGAGTGGGTGGGTGAGATTCTGTGGCCTGCGTTGTGCAGAAGGTCGGACTAGATGATCATAATAGTCCCTTCTGACCTTAGTATCTATGAATCTATGAGAGTGATCAGGTAAGGTGAGCTATTACCAGCAGGAGAGCGGGGCTGGGGGGACAGACCTTTTGTAGTTATAATCAAGGTGGGCCATATCCAGCAGTTGACAAGAACGTCTGAGGAACAGTGAGGGGTGGAGGTGGGAAATAAACATGGGGAAATAGTTTTACTTTGTGTAATGACCCATCCACTCCCAGTCTCTAGTCAAGCCTAAGTTAAATTGTATCCAGTTTGCAAATTAATTCCAATTCAGCACTCTCTTGTTGGAGTCTGTTTTTGTAGTTTTTTTGTTGAAGAATTGCCACTTTTAGGTCTGTAATTGAGTGACCAAAGAGACTGAAGTGTTCTCCGACTGGTTTATGAATGTCCTAATTCTTGACATCTGATTTGTGTCCATTTATTCTTTTACGTAGAGACTGTCCAGTTTGACCAATGTACATGGCAGAGGGGCATTGCTGGCACATGATGGCATATATCACATTGGTGGATGTGCAGGTGAACGAGCCTCTGATAGTGTGGCTGATGTGATTAGGTCCTATGATGGTGTCCCCGAATAGATATGTGGACACAGTTGGCAACGGGCTTTGTTGCAAGGATAGGTTCCTGGGTTAGTGGTTCTGTTGTGTGGTGTGTGGTTGCTGGTGCGTATTTAGTTCAAATTGGGGGGCTGTCTGTAAGCAAGGACTGGCCTGTCTCCCAAGATCTGTGAGAGTGATGAGTCATCCTTCAGGATAGGTTGTAGATCCTTGATGATGCGTTGGAGAGGTTTTAGCTTGGGGCTGAAGGTGATGGCTAGTGGCATTCTGTTATTTTCTTTGTTGGGCCTGTCCCGTAGTAGGTGACTTCTGGGTACTCTTCTGGCTCTGTCAATCTGTTTCTTCACTTCAGCAGGTGGGTACTGTAGTTGTAAGAATGCTTGATAGAGATCTTGTAGGTGTTTGTCTCTGTCTGAGGGGTTGGAGTAAATGCGGTTGTATTGTAGAGCTTGGCTGTAGACAATGGATCGTGTGGTGTGGTCTGGATGAAAGCTGGAGGCATGTAGGTAGGCATAGCGGTCAGTTGGTTTCCGGTATAGGGTTGTGTTTATGTGACCATCGCTTATTAGCACCGTAGTGTCCAGGAAGTGCATCTCTTGTGTGGGCTGGCCCAGGCTGAGGTTGATGGTGGGATGGAAATTGTTGAAATCATGGTGGAATTCCTCAAGAGTTTTTTTCCATGGGTCCAGATGATGAAATTATTCAGTTTCTATTAGGCTCATTAATAGGGCAGTTTACTAACCATGTAAATGGTTTCTGTGAAATGCCATGCTGTGATGTGACAGAGTGTGGTGAGTGACTTTGGCTTGAAATTGAACAGTAGTACTAGATGATGATATATTGAGTAATATAAAGATCATGTTTTGTTGTAAGCATCTTACTAAGAAACAGAAAGACACACACACATACTTTAAGTACAATAGTTTCTAAAGCAATGTGTTTAAGTCGTGAAGTGTCTTCTGCTCTTTTTTTTTTTAACATAAATGTTATTGGTTCACAGACACAATGATAGTAACAGTGGGTATCCTAAGCATCACCTAAATGATAAGCAAAACCTGAGAAGAGGATGTAGCACAACAGTGTCCTAATGAGATTAATGAGCTGAGACCAAACATGTCAGGTTTTTGGTTTTTTTTTTAAACTCCCCCTCTCTGTCAAAACAAAACAAACCACTCCCACATGTACTCACTTGAGATATTGGTACTGTACAGGACAATCTGTTTATTCAGCTGCTCTTTTAAGAGTAAATAATACTGACAATCTAAGAACTGTGAGATTGTGGGGGGGTGGGGGGGTGTTGGTCAGTTCTGAATTTCCAGCTGTTTCATAGGATGTTTGTTGTACAGAAAATTCTCAAGGAGGCAGATGCCAAGATTTTGTTTTATTGTCTTTAAATGTTACGTAGCTGCATGAGTGTGACATGTGTCTTCTCAGCCTTCAGGCAGGTTTGGTTCTGCCATAGCAGTACTGGACTTCAATGAGGATGGAGTACCAGACGTGGCGGTGGGAGCACCTTCTGTAGGATCACAGCATCTCACTTACACTGTAAGAGCCTTTTATTTAAAACAACATCTGGTTTGTTTATGTTCCAAATAACAGCATTAAAGAGAGACCCTCTCACATTATTCAGGGTCAATAAGGTAGCTGGCAGCTTGCTGGTGGTTCCCAATCTGGATCTTGTTTTGTGAACGCTGAGGCTGCTGCTGGCCACCGAGATAAGCCAGCTGCTTTCTGTACCCTGGCTGCAGCGCAGGCAGGAGGGGGTGAAGGAGGCATTGTGCACTGTGGGGCCCTCAGGAAACTGCAGGGGTGGTTGGGATCTGGCAGAGGGGAGGAGGAGGAGGTGACACCAAACCCCAGCCCAGGGAGAGAGCGGTGGGGGGTGTCCAGTGCAGCCTGGCTCCTTTCCTTCCCTGCCAGTGCCCAGTGATGCCATCCTGGGCTGGAGGCGACTCCTGCCATCACCTGCCCTTCCACACAGACAGCAGCAGCAGCCTGGTAGAGTGGCTTCCTGCACATGCCATTGGCAGTGGGAGCTGAGGAGCACAGACAGGGTGCATGGGCTCAGCCCACTCCGGACAGCCCAAGCTACCTGCTGAAAGTGTGGGAGGGATTGCACTGAAGAAGGCGCAGAGAGTGATTGTGAGGTCATGCGGCTTGTGCCCCCACCCCCAGCCCCACCCTCCTGCATCAACTCTGCTGACAGGGTTCACACCAGAACCTTTAAATTGTGCCCCCTCCCACCACTATCAACAGTTATGTGTGGCCTCTGTTAAAAGGCCCAGGAGTACGGAACTCACTGTCAGAAGAAGAACAAGCACTAACCCTAAGCCCACCACTTCGCCAAGGCTTTCCCACAACATTCTCACAACCATTCGTTAACAAAAAACCAACAACTCTAAGCCCAGGGCTGGCCCACAACATTTTGGCACCTGAGGCGGGGAGCTCAAATGATGCCCCCATGTCTCCTGGCTTGGGCCAAAACTCTGAAAGATCTTAATTCTGCCTTCTTCCCGTTCTACTCCTCTCATGGTACTGCTCTGCTACCTACCCCAATAAAGGAGAACTAACAACTTTTAAAATGCCTTGTTCAAAAATTTTAGGTAACACTTACATTTGCTGTTCAGGCATTAGAAAGTTAGCTTCTCTTGTCTGCATAGTAAACACTGGCATTTTTATCTGTTTGAATAATCAAAGTGGTGCTTTCCATGCCTTCTGGGTTGCAAAGATTTGAACTGCTTCCTTTGGAGTTGATCCTGCTGAAATGTATTTTGAAAGGGCTTTCAGTTCATCATCTAAATCACTCTCATCAATGTTGCGCATGTCATCATGTGTCAACACTGTCTCTAGTGCCCTGCATTGCTGGTGTAGGTGTTCTTCAGGTATAGTGAGGAGTTTTGGAATATCATACAACATCCCAAATATACGGCTGTGCTCCTTGAGCTGCATGAAACGTTCTTCAACTGACTGTATTGCACAATCTAGCACCTGGTTAAAGAATTCAACTTTGAATTGTTGTTTGGGGTCTCTTATGGGATTATCCCGTGCCTCGTAATCAAAATGTCGTCTTCTTCGATGACTCTTGTGTTCTTGAATGGGTGGGAAAATAGCTTCAGTGTGATGTTCCTCTGCCAACTTTTGTGCACTCTTCAGAACGTTTTGAAATCCCTCATCTGACTGGTAAGACTGTAGGTATGACTTTGCTTTGTCCAGTTGTTCCATTGCTCCAGATATATCAAGGTCAACACCTGGGAGTCTCTTGCTTACAACATTTATTTCAAAGAGTATGTCATGCCACAACACTAAGCCACACAGAAATTTGAAGTTATGTATGTTTCTGGTGATTCCATTTTCCTCTGCCACTGTTCTCCCACGAACAGTTCCTGTCATAGCATTATACTTCATAATGGCAACTATGGCATCATCTATCAGTTTGGTGTTTTATAGGCTTTGTCGCCTCCCTTGACTTTCCCATCGTGTGGCACTCAGTGGTTTCAGTGTCAGAGAGGATGTTTCTAGATGTTGCTTCAAAATTTGCAATCGATGAGTTGATGCAGAGATAAGTACATAGATTGCTTTGAATTACATTAAAAAATTCAGCAGCCTCACTAGAAGAAGCTGATGTTGCATCACTGACCACCAAGTTCAATGAATGAGAACTGCATGGGACAAAAAAAGCTCGAGGGTTTAACTCTCGGATCCATGTCTGTGCTCCTCTGTTCTTTCCTCTCATGTTGGCATCATTATTGTAGCCCTGACCTCTGATGTCAGCTATCGCAATTCCCATATCTTCCAGCTTTTGTCATACCAGCTCCTGTAGTATCATTAATGTTAATAAATTCTAGAAAATGCTGTCTGACAGTCACCATTGCAGGGACATTTTCACTACGTTCTGTTGTTGTTACAAAACACACCATTAAAGTCATTTGTTCCATATGGCTGATGTCTGGTGCAGGGCCGGCTCCAGCGTTTTTGCCACCCCAAGCGGCAAAAAAAACCCAAAACTTGCCGCTGAATGGGGAGGCGGAATCCTGCCCGCTGAACACGGAGGTGGAGTGGTCATGCGGCCACCGAATTGTTGATGGTGACCGAGGAAGAGTCGTGTCCCCGCTGCCGAATTGCCACCGAGCGCGAAACACGCTGTGATGGAGTGGCTGCTGAATTGCCGCCACCACCGAGGGCGGACTGCCGCCCCAGAGCCCAACGTCCTTCCGTCCCTTTACATTTGCTGCCCCAGGCACCTGCTTGGTTTGCTGGTGCCTGGAGCTGGCCCTGGTCAGGTGTGCAGTCCAGAATAACAGAGTAATATCTTGCTGACTTCAGATCTGCCACAATCTTCTGTTTGACTTTTGTTGCCAGTAACTGTATGATCTCATTTTGAATCGTTTTTCCAAGATAATGGTGTATGTACATTTCTTGGGTGGTGACTCTTCTTAGCTGCTCCTGGAGTACAGCATCAAACTCAGCCATCAACTCCACAATTTTAAAGAAGTTTCCATTGTTTGGCACATACAGCTGATCTGAAGTGCCACGCAGTGCTAGGTTTTGGGTAGCAAGCATTCTCACAATGGCAATGAGCCTTTTCAGAATATTTTGCCAGTAAAGAGACTCTGATGCAATCTTCTCTTGATGCTGATCATCTATGGTGGCCTTTAACCTTAGTCTCATCTCAAGCTCTTTCCACCTATGGAATGCTCTCTGGTGATTTGCTGCCTTCTCATGGCATGTCAGATTTCTAGACAGATTTTTCCAGTCCTTCATTCCGGTAGAACCCAATGTGGTTGGAACATTAGACTGGAAGAGTTTGCAACAACAACAGTATGCAGCATTCTGGGTTTTTGCCTACATAAGCCATGGCCTCTCCACTTTGTCACCATTGGGGATTTCACGCCAATAATGTGTTGGATGGAAACTTCTATTTTCATTGTCTTTGGGGAACATGAAATTTTTCGCTTGCTGTGGCCCATGCAGTACAAGGAAGTCCCTCAGGCTATTGCTCAAGTGGGTCCACAGTCCTGGATCATCTAGACTTAAGGAACTAAACTCAGCAGCAGCTGTTTCTTGCGCCTCCACCACACTCTTCTCTGATCTACACTTTTCTTCAGGAATGTGCATGGTTACATCCATTTGAGATGGAGATATGGATGCTGCAGTAGCTGCCAGGTCACCTGCACTCTGACTAACTGGAAGATCAGGCATCTCCTCACCACTCACATCCTCACTGGGGCCGGAAGACACATTTATGTCTGTGTATCTCAGGAGAGCTCCTTCCTGCTTAGATAGAAAAGCTTCCTTTGCTTTCTTTCTTTTTCTGAATGCTGCCCCAGAGGGGCGTTTTCTTCTTTCACTCATGACTGCTGTTCTGTGCCAGCTATAGTGGCTCTCAACACTCAATTGAAGGGGACAAATAAGCAGGCTGGTAGCAGGACCTGAGTGAGGGAAGATATCAGCGGTTTCAAGGGCCTAACTGGCTCCTACTACTTCAGTTGACTGCCTGTTCTCCTCAAGTGGGTTCAGGGAAGCAGTAGGAAACAGGAAGCTCCCTGAGAAGCTGGTGTTAATCAGTCCAGATTCCTGGGGGTACTAGAGAGGTACATAAGAGGCTCCTTCTCCTCTCTCTCCCTGCAGCTCCTGCTGCTTTCTGTTATTCCCTCTCACCTTTTCTCTTGCCTGCCTGTTATGTCTCTTGTGCCCTTCTTCCTCCAGCACAGCACTCCACCATCTCTGTGCATCTAGAGCAGAGAGAATACATATGCCCCAGCAGCAAACAAAATTTTCTACACTCTGGGTCCTAGTGGTGCCCTCCCACAGTCTGGCACCTGAGGCGCCGCCTCAGTTCGCCTCATGGTAAGGCCAGCCGTGTTGATGTAGCTGAGGTTGACGTACTTAGAGGTAGTTTCCGCGAGGTTCACACTATGATATGTCGATGGGAGACAGAAAAATGTGGGCTATATGAATTCTGCCCTCTGCCCCATGAGTGCAGAATCCCCCCAGGAGAAATATTCATAAGGGGTTCAGCCCCTTTTCCTTATCTGAACTTCCACGCCCTACTTATGTTGGAGTTCCCAGGTGCTATAGGTTAATTAACTGGGTACATCATATTCATGAGCATTTACGTCAACTGGTTGCCATAATATTACTGCTGTCAGACCTTGCGAGTTTCAGTTAAACATATTATGCATATTGTTTAAACATACCTTCTTAGAATATCAGTAACTTATGTGGTTTCTCACTTCACACAAGCCAACTGACTTACTTTTATTTACTGCTATAAAATAACTGACTTGCCTGTCAGTTATTTATGTCAAGCAAAACCATAGGCCTTGATTAGTTATGTCAGGGGTTGGTAACCTTTCAGAAGTGGTGGGCTGAGTCTTCATTTATTCACTCTAATTTAAGGTTTTGCGTGCCAGTCATACATTTTAACCTTTTTAGAAGGTCTCTCTCTATAAGTGTATAATATATAACAAAACTATTGTTGTATGTAAAGTAAATAAAGTTTTAAAAATGTTTAAGAAGCTTCATTTAAAATTAAATTAAAATGCAGAGCCCCCCCCGGACTGGTGGCCAGGACCCGGGCAGTGTGAGTGTCACTGAAAATCAGCTTGCGTGCCGCCTTTGGCACGCGTGCCATAACCCCTGAGTTATGCTAAGCTGTTTACATTACAGGCCCTAACACTGTTGATTCTCTACTTGTGTTACAGCCTCAGTCAATACTTATACTTACAGCTGGCTGCAGAGGCCATTTTCACCCGCCACTCATAGAGCTGACATACTGCATCAGATCTTTTCTATATTCTTCCAGTTGGTGTCATCTTGCAGTGGGATAATGGCTGTTATGTTTACATGTGGCTTGGTTGCCAGTATTGCTTTGTCACATTGCCTGATACAAACTACAGCCCAAATTTTCAAACTTGACTGCCTCAACTTAGGCACGTAGATCTATTTTGGGTGCCTAAATAAGTGGTCTGATTTTTCAGAAATGCCCCGAGCAGCCCCCATTTAAGTCAATTGATGTTCCAGCTGCTCAGCACTACTGGAAAATCAGGTGGTGCTTATTTACCTGCCTAAATATGGATTTAAGTGCTTACATTAGGCCTCCACATTTGGAAAATTTGATACTACACATCTCTTGTTGCCTACAGACTGTACCACTGCCTTAAGTTATTGTGAACTACACTGCAAGCTGCGTGAATGTTTTATTTATATTTAATGATATTACCTATTGTCCTTATCAAGTAACATAATGAAAACTCCCTTATTTGTTGAAACGAGCATGTTGATTCTCCCCCCCTGCCACTGCAAACTCTAGATGGATGATTTGGTCATCACATTTAAGTCTTAGATTTGGGGTGGAAGATACACAATACCTTGTGGGCTCTGATGGTAAGAAAAATGCAGCCTAACTAATGGTCTTCACAGAGTTAGTCGTTTCTCTAACTTGTACTATTAAGTCCATATTTGGCACTGGTGTATACATTCTCAAAGGATTTTTTCCCCCCTCTGTTTAGGGTGCTGTGTATGTATATCTGGGCACTGCAGGAAGAGGCCTGTCACCTTGGCCAAACATTACCATAATTTGCCAGGTACATTTACTAGTAAGAAGGACAATCCAAAACTGCAGAACTGGGGACTGAAGGAGGGGGGCAGATCACTATACCATTTTATTCAGTATTGTTCCATCCCTTCATGCTGTTGTCCGGGGGATGCATATGAGACAAGCAAACTAATTTTTAGTTACACAGGGACCACAAGGTTAGCAGCGGCAGTAGAAAGGAAACATGACAGTTCATATGACAAGGAAATTCAGGTGCAATAACTGCTGTTTAGAGCCTTTTTCATAAGGCTGCTGGTAAGATAAGCTGTCTACATTCTGCAGACCTTCAATTGCCCAGGACCAGAGGTTCAATTTTACTACCACATGCTTCAGGACAGCATCCCTGAAGTCAAATGGCAGGAGGAGGCAGAGTGGGGGGGAAACAGTTTGCCCACACTGCTACTCTAAAGCCTTCATTACTGGGGATACTGTAGAGATGTTGGCCCAGATCTTCAAAGATATTTAGACACCTAACTTCTACTGAAATCAGTGGGAGTTAGGTGCCGAAATACCTTTAAGGATCTCGGGCATTGCTAGCCTCTTACTACTCACCATGAGAAAGGATGTCAAAATCAGGCCCTGTAATTGCAAGGGAATATATATTTGTACATTTGTCAGAGGCCACAAATAAAAAGAAATGCCTCATTGTACTTCTGCCTTGTCTCTTTGTCGAATGGTCATGTCTATTTGAGTGCATGTACTGTAGGATAGCAAGGAGGAGGGCTAAGTGGACTCCCTATTCTCCAATTTAAAAAAAAACAAAACCCCAAAACAACCCCCAAACAACTTGGTTACAAGATGGGAGGGTGATTGATCAGGAGTATTCAAAATTAACTCTTTAGAAGAGATATAAAGTAACATAAAGCAAGTAGACAATTACAATGCTGCTTTCCACTTTAAAGTTTTGATTGAGGTATTGTCTCTTGCAGCACACATTCTGTAACCTTGGATGGTCACTGCTGGCTGCTGATATTGATGGGGATGGAAAGTCTGATCTGGTTGCCGGTTCTCCTTTTGCACCTGGCGGTGGGGAGCAGAGAGGATTTGTACTTGCATTTTATTCTCACTTCAACAGGAGTGACAAAGGTAATATTTACTGAGTAAATTGACATGTCCATATTTTATGTGGCTATATTTGTGGTTTTAATTTGACACTTTTGTTTTAATTTGAATCCTTTGTTATTGAAACCCGAGCAACCTATTATTGTCGCAGAGTCTCGAAAGGTTTATGTGCACTCTGGAAGTAAAGAAATAAATACATAAAAATAGGCTTCTAGTATTTACATTGCCTTACCTGGATTTCTACTGTCCCCACTGAAGAAAATTTAAAATTAATTTATTTCTGAGTATTTGATGATTAACAAAAGTCAGCCTATTGCAATAATATTGTAAGTGCTTTGTATGCTAAGTAAGTAATTTTGCACATACCTCAGCCTAATTGTATGAGTATTAATTCCAAGGTTAGTGCACGTAGTTCCCAAGGCAAACAGAAGTGTACATCATAAGAATGGGGGTAGGGGAAAACAGTCTCCTCAGAATTTAGGCCCTGGATCTGCAAACACTTGAGCACGTGTATAACTTTACTCAGATGAGTCGTAGTGCTATTAAAGTCAACAGCAAGAGCTGTTTAGTGCTTGCAGAAAAGTACAGAACTTGGCTGTGAGACAGAAATGAATGGTTAGCAGCGTGGAAGGAATGCTTATCAATGAGTGCTGCTAGGTAGTAATGGTAGCCCCTTGCATCAGGAGGGGTCTACCTGGATTTTTCTCTCAAATTGGCAAGGGCCTGAGAGTATCACAAGATTATTCATTCGTGCCATGCTAAGAGCTCCTTCATGTGGCAAAAGGGGAATGCTGCAAGTGAGCACTGTAACTACATGGTAAGGGTCAAACTGGATTATTGTGGGATGGGAAGAGGTGAGCTAGAAAAAGAGGTTGAAGCCTAGAGCTGGAGAAGGTCAGCATGAATATGTAGGGATGCAAAACTTCACCAGCTGAGGTTTGGTTTTTGCATAATCAAATTTAGATCAGAGTCCTATTGTTTTCAAAACCAGGGTTTGTAGATGGGGAAGGCTTTCAGCTAAATTTGTACTAATTTTGACGCATATCTATTTCAAATAAGGATGGAAGCAACTGGGCGATGCTTTTGAATTCACAAATCTTTGTCAGCTGAAGTCTGCGTAAAACCAAAACCCAGGAGTGACTTGAATTAAGATCTCATTTATTTGAACTTTGGATTCAGATAAATGGTTTCAGTTTTATCTCTGTTCTAGAGAAGACATTTCAGTTCCATTCAAACTGGTTTGGTATCTCCTGTATTCCTGCCTTTAGAAGTTGAAAGCATCCCATAGGTTGTGTTTGGGTGACTTAGAGCCAAGATTTCACCACCAAACACAGCGGCTGAGTACTGCTTTGCCACCACAGTGTATTATGAAATTAATGATAACTGGTACCATACCATGGGAAGAGTAACCCAATCAAAACAGAAGTGTCTATTGCTAGATTGAAACGTGGTAGATTTCAGAAACTGATAATCAATGTTTTAGCTTTGGTGAACATCCCAACTTAACCTTTGTCTTGTTTGATCCTATCTGTCAGGGCTGCTGTCAGTAGAGGATGCCAACTGGATGGTGAAGGGGGAAAAGAACTATGCCTGGTTTGGATATTCACTTGTTAGTCACCAGTTGAAGAACAAAACCTTACTGCTGATTGGCAGCCCTACCTGGAAGAGCTGTACTGGGTGTGTTTCTCTTTTATTTGGGAGTTGTACATGATCGTAACACAGTTCCTTTCACAACCTGTGTTTTTTTCCCCTATAGTCTTTAAGATCTACAGTAGAGTAATATTGTTTCAGTAAGTTTACCTGTGGAACTCCACTCTTTGGGGACAATAATATGTCATATTTAGAGGAAACTTCAGATTAGTAAATTCAAATTTTTACCTACCTTCTCCTTCTTAACGCTTTTTTCAAAGAAGATGGTCTTCTTCAAAAACAAATTCTTCAAATTTTATAATTTTTAAAAATGCCAGCAGAGAGGCAGTTCTAAACAATCCTACAATGGTAATTAACTAAACTGAATGATACCTACAAGCCTCATGATGGGGCCCCGTTGTGCTAAGTGATGTACAAATATAAAGGTGGACAAGGTCTCTTTTCTGAAAGATCTTACAATAGAACCTCAGAGTTACGAACACCAGAGTTATGAATGGACCAGTCAACCACACATCTCATTTGGAACTGGAAGTACACAATCAGGCAGCAGCAGAGACCTCACCCCAAAATGGGGGACAGCAAATACAGTACAGTGCTATGTTAAACATAAACTACTAATAAAATAAAGGGAAAGCAGCATTTTTCTTCTGCATAGTAAAGTTTCAAAGCTGCATTAAGTCAATGTTCAGTTGTAAACTTTTGAAAGAACAACCATAACGTTTTGTTCAGAATTGAGAACAACCTCCATTCCTGAGGTGTTCATAACTCCGAGGTTCTACTGTAATTCTAATTAGAAACAAGAATGAGAATAATTACCAGATCAGCATTTTGCACACAATGAAAGAAAACAATATTCTGCGTACAAGCAATGCTGTATGTATGTACAAAATACATTTCAAGTTATTACTTTGACTGAAAATAACTGTACTGTGTGTTCTAGTCTAGGTTGTTACATCTCATTGGATACCAAACAGAGTGTTGGAAAGGTGTACGGATATAACCCACCAAGCACACAAAGCTGGTTTTCCGTACCTGGAGACATGGTAGGACCTTTTCTTTAGTATGCTGGGAATTTACAGGTGTGAACTATGTGAAGCCAAATGGTATTCTGTGCAACTGACACGTTTAACAATCAACAGGAGAGGGGCAAACTGGGTTCGTCGCTGGCCAGAGGCTTCCTGTCTGTGGCTGGAATTCCAAGAGAAGTGTTGGTGGTGGGCGCACCTACCTCCGGTATGTTGTTCTGGAAATCGAAACACTTTAGCTATGTACTACCTATGTCTCAAGTGAATGGTAGACTAAGCTAATTGCAGCAAGCTAGAAAATGGACTTAATAGCTACCTTGAATTTATGAGTGCTATATATGATGCTCTCCCTATGGATATCCGAAAGTGCACAGTATACTTTGCACAGCCCCATTTGCCAGAGCCTCGGATTTGTTTAGGGCAAGATTTTTGTATGGAACAGTCTTTTGTTAAGTGCATTCTCAACACATTATTTATGTAACTGATTCATTATTAGGCCATAAATTCCCTGGCACCAATGACAGCGTAAATAAATGGTCAAGACTCACTATATAACTTAGGAGCACACACTTGACACGTGTTCTTGAAGACTGACTTTTTTTCAATGTAGAACAAACACTGTAACTGGAGTAGAATTAATAAAGTATTTGATGGTTTTTGTAAAGTCAGTATGTTTTCGTTTTGTTCAGATCTTTGATAATGCCAGTATTACCTACTGTTAGTACACTACATGTACTAAGCCTATTTCTGTGAGTGCACACATCTGGGGGTCTAATTCTGTCACCCTGGCTTCTTTCAGACAGCACGTCTAGGATTGCATTTATATCCTCAGTACTGCACCAAGCTGGAACTGTTCTGATGTATGACTTGACAGATGGTGCCAAACCTTCTTTGCTCAGCACTTTCAGTGGGGACAGGAGGTTCTCTCGCTTTGGAGGAGATGTACACTTAAGTGACCTGGACAATGATGGACTAGGTAAAACAAAGGGGATTTAGATGGTGTGGGTGAAGAGTTTTTTACTTTGAGCAAGAGTAGACTTGCCTCCTACATTGTCATATAAACTCAAAACACATCCCGCTTTATAGATGGACGTAAACATCACAAGATGCTTGACAGCAGAAATCAAACAATTCAGTCATAAGCCAAGAAAACTTCTTAACTTTATCCTTACGCTATGGACAGTTAGTCATTAATGTTCACAGGAATGACTGTATACAGACCAGTGTAAATACCAGCTCTTGTGTTTTGATCTAGTACTATTTCATCTTGACATCATATATCGTCTTTCTGATCATTCACAGATGAAATTATTGTGACATCTCCTCTGCGAACTGAAGACATCACGTCTGTACTGTTTGGAGGGGAGGCTGGACGTGTGTACATCTACAATGGAAACCAGACCACCTCGGGTAATGTGACAGACAACTGCAAATCATGGATTTCTCCTTGTCCTGAGGACTGGGTAAGAAAACTTACCAGTAAAACCAGGAGACAACATGATGACAACTAATTAATTACATCCACTGAAAAGAAAATAATAGATGGTATCTGGAGTCAAGTTTCAGTAAAAACTCCATCTTGTTGCCTTCATCACACAACAACTTGCTCAGGTTCTTAAATCTAGGTAATTTGACCCCTTTTTGGGTTCATGAGCAACCATGCACAAAATTCTGCAATGTGGGAGTAAGGCAGTTTTAATGCATGGGGCCTTTAGTCTGCAAGCGAAATACACTCTAAGAAGGTGGTTCTGCTAACAGCTTCTCCCTTTCTTTCTTTTGTTTCAGGCACAATATGTTCTAATTTCTCCTGAAGTGAGTAACTGGAAAATCAATGGCTGAGAGCAAAAAAAAACAATTTTAAACATTCTTTAATTAATGTTCTCAGAGCATAATGAGCTATCTCATTTTACAGGAAAGATCAAGGTTTGGGAGCTCCGTCATCACTGTGAAATCTCAAGGAAAGGTGAGAGAAATGAACACCACTCTTGCCTGCCAGTTTGTTTCTTGCCAACACTTGTCAGTGTCATTTGCATAAATTACTTAGCATAGCACCATTCCCCTGCAGATCCCAAAGTGCTTTACAGAAGCTAATCAAGCTTCCCCATTAAGTCACCCTCTGGGCCAATATTAACCCCATTTTATAGATGGGTAAAATGAGGCAAAGAGGCCACAGCTGTCTAAATTTGGGCAACTGAAAAGGAATCTACTTAAAAAAACCCCCAAATTTGCTCTTAGCAACTTGCCTAAGTCAGCTGCAGACTTGACTCAATCATGTGTTTTAACCACTAGACTACACTCCAACAGCCTGTTATAAGCAATGCCGATGCTCATGACATACTGTAAAATTGGCTCCTGGGAAAATGACTGTGGTCAGTTTATATGCAGTCTTCTATTTTAGTACTTGTTTCCAGTAGCACTATCCATACACGAGGCCCAGTCCTTGCCCTGATAATCTTGGAGGGCCTTCATATGCCCCACTCCTCTCTGCATGACGATATGGGCCTTTGGAGGGAGACAAAGTCTCTGCCTGCATCCAGAGGTGCTGAAACAATTTGTATAGTGGGGGTGCTGAGAGCCATTGAACCAAACTGTAAACCCTGGATATGATGGAAACCACTTCAAGCCAGGGGGTGTTGCAGCAGCCCCTGCACTCCTAGTTACAGCAGTATGCCTGCATCTGTGTGACACGAGTGTTTGTTTTTTCATTTGCCTTTACTCTGTACTTTGAGGTTGGTCCAGTGGCTGTTTATATAAATGGACTCCGGGACTTTGGGGTCCTGCCCATTTTCCTCATTGTCAGTAATCATTTGAGGAGATGATTGCTCATCTCTGCAGTGATCCTTACCCAAATGTTGGTTGATTTTACTCACCAAACAGCCTTTAGGAAAAAGCAGCTGGAATCTGAACTGCTTCCAATCTAAGAGAAGGGGCCATTTTTCATATGACAAACACCTTATGAAACAAGCACCATAGAATCATAGAATATCAGGGTTGGAAGGGACCCCTGAAGGTCATCTAGTCCAACCCCCTGCTCGAAGCAGGACCAATTCCCAGTTAAATCATCCCAGCCAGGGCTTTGTCAAGCCTGACCTTAAAAACCTCTAAGGAAGGAGATTCCACCACCTCCCTAGGTAACGCATTCCTGGCTTTCATGGTGTGGATTAGAGAAGGCTGGTCTACAAGCAAATGGTTCCCTTTTCTTTTTCAGGTCTTGTCTCCACTAGAAAGGGTTTGCTGGCATAGGCATACTGGCTAACCCGTGTAGCAGAGATGCAGCTTTTAGCAAGAGTGCTTTTGGCAGTGTAGCTTATCTTAGTTCCCTGAGTAAATATGCAATACCAGCAAAAGGACTTTGTTGGTACAACTATGCCTGTGCTAGGGTTTTGCTGGGCATATCTATATTGGCTGGGGAGAGGGATCCCCCCTCCCTGGCACTCCTGACATAGCCATGGTGGCAAAGTCTCCTCAGTGACGCAGTTGAATTTTGTTAACCTCCGTTTTGTATCTTTGCAGAGAGAAGTTGTAGTAGCTGCTGAGAGAAGTTCGGTGAAAGCGAGACTGAGTGGAAGGCTTTTTATGTATACCCTTTAAATGTTCAAATGTTCTTTTGCTGAGTCTGGGTATATGCCTGATTTCAGTAGCAGATCCCCCAGTATCTATGGTGTTCTCCTTCACTCCTCCCTCTGCCATGCTAAACAAACAGGATGTAGCTAAAAAGAAGACATAAGCAGCAGAAAGGAAATTGGGGTTGATTTGGAAAAAAAAAAAAAAAAGACGGGGAATACTAACTGTCACGGTCCATCCATCCAGCTTTAGAATTGCAAACCAATTAAAAACCTCTATCCATGGAAGTCAGAAGGCTAAATAACTCAGCCATACAAAAAGCAGCATGAAGGGAGCCAAAACATCAACCTAGCATCAATCCAGGCAACTTATGAGGGAGGCTGGTTCCAGCAGACCTATTTCGCTGTTTGAGGAAAAGTGCAGCACCCCTAGTTGATATCATCACTTAAATATGTGCATGTGTACAAACACCTTTAACTCTGTCATCGTACACCTTCCCAAACTCCTCCTGTACACTAGCATCCCCCGAATACCCTCTATCTTACATCATGGACATTTCTAATACAGCCAACAAGCTCTCCAATCAGCACCCACTGCTCTCCAGCTCACCCACTTATCACCCAGACATACTAGCAGCTTCGGTCAGATGTGGTGGTCCAGGCATGCTGCAGCCAGAGCCGGTACGAAGGGGGTGCATAGGTAACTAAGCTCGTCTTTGCACCCTATTTTGCTCCTTGCCTTCCAGCAGCCTTATACGGCCTGCTTAGTGCCCCAAAGGACTAAACCATATCCAAGGATCACCATAGCAGCACCTTGGCTGCAACTTCTATGTCAGCAGCAGGGATAAGGACTTGGTGTAGGACTCTCTACACCACACGTGCAACCCTCATGTTTAGGGTAATGCTCTCTGGGCTGGATAGACTGGCACTGCAGTGATCTTCTGCCAACCGCGTTGCACTGAGTGGCTCTGCTGTACCAGATCATCTGCTGTCTTGCTGCTTTATCCTCCATGGAAAGAAAGTTCCTCAACTTTGCTCCTTATCCCACAACCCTGCGTCTTATTTTCCAACTGCAGTCCAGAAACCACCAATCTTGAGTCCGAAATACAATCTACCCCATCCACCCTCCCCTTCTGCCGGGGACCAGAAATCCCATTGTACTTCCTGTATTCAACCGCCTGAGACAAGTGGGAGACTCCAACTTAGGACAACAATCCACACATCCATTTTCGTCCCATCCACTCTACACAGCTCAGATAGGAGTACCCCATTCACAGAGCCAGGATAGTATGTTGTTTATCTGAAAGAAAGTATGCTACGTGCCTAGAATGTTACATAGATACTTGGTGTTGACTTCACTACAGCTGAAGTTGTGCTATAAAGGTATATCTGATAGATGGATGGTAGGCGGTTGCAAAGGGCTAGCAGCAGCTGGATAGCACTTGCCTGTTGAGAGTCTCAGGGGCAATCTGTTAAGGAAGCAGGATGTTTGGCTTCAAGGGGAAGAGAAGGGCAAGGAGCTCAAGGTTGGACTCCACTGGTGATTGTTCCTAATGCTTTTATGTAGAACTCAGTGACTCTGGTAAGTTAAAATCCTGCTCTTATTGTTAATTGTATTATGTGTTCGACTCATGAGTATTGTGGTTTTGAAGGGGTAGGTTAATGCTGAGTGTGTATCCATAAACAATTAAACAACATACTTAAGCAACAGCATATGACCTCGTTGTTTGTGGGTTAGGTCTGCAACCATTGGTGGGTGTATATGTGGGGGAGGGGTCAGAAGTTATGACACTATGATACATTTTTTTTGTGTGGTACAAGCCAGTAGCAAAGTATTGGAGAATTTTAAACAGTAATCATCCTCTTTGGAATACATATATATATGCAAGTCAAAATCTTTCTTACTTTCTCAATGTTTTCAGGAAGCAGTTTTAAAGAATCTTCCAGCTCTTGATAATTCTAGCTTTAAAACAGAAGAGTAAGAGCTGAATTTTAGAATTGCTTCTTTTTTTTTTAAACTACATCATCGTTTGCCATGGCATCCATACTGGGCATAATCGTTTTAACCTACCTAAATAAAGCAATAAAAATCAGAACTAGCAAGAACCAGATAGCTGGACAGCATAAATGAAGAGATTGGTTGAGAGGGAAAGGAGGAGAAAGTACTTAGCAAGAGCACTGTGGCAATAATAGGAAGAGAGCATGTTGTGCTGAACATTACACCCAGGAACTGTTTGGAATTTGTTTTGATAAAATAGGAAAAGAAAATGACACCCACACTTTAAAAAGCCCTCTGGATAAGTGATGGAACTCAAGGAGTAGCTGGAGAACTAGAAGGCATCAGGGTGGGTGAGCTGAACACAGTGCACTTTCCTTCCGACCCTAGGCCATTATTTTTACTTTTTCCTCATTGATAACACCTTCCCTGTCAGGATCCTGAGCCATCCTGCAACTTGCCATTTTTGAAAGCACATCCCGGTCGTCAACAAGTCTGATAGAAGTAGTCAGATGTAGGAAAGCACAAATGATTTTAGGAGGCAGACTGACAAGCTGGAGATTGCCTTATTTAGGTTTTTCACCCTCACTGCTAGAAAACACTAGGCTTTTTGTGGTCAATTGTGTTGTAAAGAAAATGAGTGAAGTTTATTCAAGCTGAACAGACTCCTCTTATTGTTAAGTCAGCAAAACCAAAGAGGTCAATTTGCCAAACACAAGGATAAAACCAGTTGGCATTTTATTTGTGAGTCCTGAGTATTACAAATGAAGTGCAGATTTGTCAACTACACTTTAAGAGTCTCTATTATCAGTTGACAGTGGGGTTTACAGGTCTGGTTCAGTGGCAATTTCACTCAAAACCTTGTCAACCACCCTGGGCTTCGGTTTCTTAGTTCTGAGCTCAGAATTCTGTTACCACACCTACATTTTGCAGTGTAAATGGGACAGGTGTTAAACTTCCAGTGGTTTTCTGGACTTGGATAACTCCCATGACATGGATGCAGTCCTGTAAAAGAACTAGTGGTCTTATTTTAAATGCTTTTAATGCACATAAGTCAATTCAGTACAGATCAAAGGAGTCAAAATAATGCCCTGTAGCGGCAGAGAAAATACAGCTGGGGAAGCAACAATGCAAGCTTTCCCAATAGCCTTGTGAATGTATTTCAAAACCCTGACCTGAAGGGATCATTTCCTGAGTCAGAACGTCAGTATCCATACCCATTCACTCATTCCCCTCTCTGGGTATGCCAACATTAGCCCTCAACCTCATGGGTGTTCGTATTTTGTGAACAGTTTCCCCACTAGGAGCTGGATCAAGACCAAACCACTTCCTAGAGGTCACTTAACAACCAGCAGCTGGTAATGATTTAGCCACTGGGGATTTCAACTGCCACCCAATCCCCTACTACCTTTAAAGTAGAATATAGAGAAAGAACAGTGCATTATCCTATATGATGTTATGCTTTGAAAGTATAAGGGTGCACAAAGTTAAATCAGTTAGTTGATAATCCTTAGACGCCACACAGGATTTTACTTTGAAAGACAACACGCTTGCAGAAGTATAACAATTTCTGAACTCTTTAGTTTCCATTTTCTGTTCACCTGAGCACTTAATTACGCTTTTGCTGCTACAATAAATTTTTCAGCCTGTCAGGTGGGCAGTGGTTTACACAATGTTTAAGTTGCTGGCTAAAGAACTATCTAACTGTACCTGGCACAGGTGTAAGTGTTCCCATTCTGATCTAGAAGGGTTTTACAGTCACTCTGCACAGTGGGGTAAGGCCCTCAGGAGAGGCAAATAGCAGGTGGGTGGAAGTAGCAGGCATTTAACTCTCTTCCACCATCGCAGGAATCAAATCAGCACTTTTTTGATAGTCAAACTTGATCTTTGTACCCCTTAGTTACATAACTTTGCTACTACCTCCCATTCCCCTGACCTGCAGACAGATTTCACCCCACATTTGCCCCTAATCTCACCCACCACGTGTGGTAATGAAATCAGCTGCAAGACAGCTGCAGTATGCTTCATGATCCTGGTCATTTATGTCTTCAGAAGGAGATGAAAGGAAACGAGTCAGGTCAGGAAAAAAGTCTGACTTTTCTTTTTTAAATGGGAGTTGGATCAGGCTCTAAGGTAAGATCTTACTAATCGAATACGGATCTGTTATACTACACGTGTAAATACACCTAGTCAGTTGTAATTGAAAGGGCAGTGGTTGCATACTTGAAATGTGCATCTGCTACCAGTCTGAAAGGCCCTGCTGTTCTCATTTTAAAAACTAAGCCCATTCGGGCCTGCTTAGTCTTTGAATAGGTGAGCACTGGACATTCAAAACTTGTTTGTTTTTCATTTAACAGAACCAAAGCAGTTTTCTGTATTTGTTGGTCTGGCTGTGCTGACTTAGTGCTCTGCAAGAAATGTGAGTTTGATTCCTGCTTCTGGGATCCTAGTCTCTAGAGCGTGAATGCGACCTTGAAAAACAAAAAAGGAAAAAACAACCACCCTATATTTAAAAAAAAAAAAGGCCTAAAGTTTGGCTCCTAACTCCAGCTCTCAGCTCCTGAATGATTAACCTGATTTTCAAAAATCAAACCAGCTCCTATTGAGGACAAGTATATTAGTTTTTGTTTTTAATTTTAGCCTCTATCTTTAGCACTACTGCCCTAGGCTGAAATCCTGTCAATGCCTAACTAATGAAGGCTGGGCCTGAGTAATCCTTGAATGCAAGACCTCAAACTGTAAGAGCCTGAAATTGCAAGCTGGGCGTCATGCTGTAGTCTAGCAAAATCCTCTTAACACATGAGAAAAAAAATTAAGGATCCTATGGGAATATTCTCTCTGCACTTACTGACTTTTGTGCCATTAAATATCAACTTTAAAAACATTTTGGTGCATAAGATATACATTGACATTCTAGGCGTTTAAAAATTCTTAATTTTTACTATAGGAAAAACAGGTGCGCAAGTATGTGTACAGTTCACCATGTAACAAAAAAAGCCAGTTGCTTTCTCCTGTTCTATCGATTTGTCAGCGTGCTTCTGCTTGATGTAAAGGCTTCTGTTTTAAGGTCATTTTTTATTTCAATTCTTCCAGCTGTTGGATGAGTTTTTTTCAGCAACGTGGGCACCTAGACAAGTCACATAATAGCTAATGATTATTTAAAAAAAAAAAAAAGGGCCATGGCGTATACAAGTGCCTGCCAGTTCTCAGGAAGCCTCTTTTGAAGTGTCATCAAGCTGTGAAAAGCTATGAAAGTCAGCACAAAGGATTCTGGAGTGCATCTGAGGAGGAACAGCTGCAAGTACCTGGAGGGTCAGGATGCCCCCCTGTGACAGCCTCTCTCTTTCTGTGCTCTTTAGGCTAGTCTTTTGTTCTTGTTCCCCACCAAGCTCCCCGCTGTGATTTTTTCTAGCTCCCCCTTTCCAGCACCAAGCTACCTCTGGGTGAGGGGTAGGGAGGAGTGGAACAGCAGCATGGCTGAGCTGAGTGCCATAGAAGCAGAGGGAGGACTGTTGTGGCCATGTACACGTGAGCCGCTCCTGTTACCAGTTACACTAAGGGCAGCTCTCAAGGTATTGCCTGCCACGTCACTTCTGGCAGCAGCAAATACTTGCAGCGTGAAGCAGTACATCTTGGGTCACACAACTCTCCTTTGCCCTGTCCTGTGCTCCCCCTATGCCTGCCAAGGGAAGACTACCCTACCACCCTTCCAAGTTGAGCGACATGGATTTAACCAATGACTTCCATAAAAGTGGAAGTTGTGTCCCTTGATCACACCCATTACAAATTCCATAGTACACACCAAACACAGGAAGTAGCAGTGGTACTGTGCATGCAGAAGGCAATGGGAACTCTTTAGCCAGCCATACGTACTTGGGGAGGTAGTGAAGGTTCTAGATGCCGTCCAAGGAATGAAAGCAAACGCCGCCAGATAAGGCCGCTTCCCAAAAACATAATCCCTGTCACCAGCCAAAATGCTCTGTTGTCCTAGCAATGGAAAAAATAGCCATTAATCATGCAGCTCTTTATGTGGTGGAAGGGTCCTCAGTGGATTCCCTCCCATACCTCTAAATTAAACCCCTCCCTGTCCCCTCTAAAGTTCACAGTATGGTGAATTTCCTTGGCTGGGAAAGGTTCGCTGAGACTCTGGGTTATTGCAAGGCAAAGTGATCCACTTGAAACACCATCATTTCCAGAGCACTGGTGTGCTGGCCTCTGCACTTAATGTTCCTCACTACCACACTAGCCCATGCATGGTTCTTTTCAAAGATAGCTCTTGTTTTTATCAAGAATGTAGAGATTTCCCCCCCACCTAATTTTGTGTGTGTGAAGGTGGCGAAGAAGAAATCTCTTCCTTTTTAAGGTAATGCATGTAAGTGTGACAGCTACCACCAATCTAAGGCTACATCTACACTACAGCCCAGATCGATGCTCTGAGATCAATCCACCACCGGTCGATTTAGTGGGTCTAGTGAAGACCCATCAAATCGACAGCAGATTGCTTTCCAGTCGATCTCTGTACTCTACCCCTGACGAGAAGAGTAAGGTAAGTCAACCCCCTGCAGTGTAGATCCTATGGTAACTCGACCTAAGATACGTCGACTCCAGCTACATTATTCACATAGCTGGAGTTGCATAGCATAGGTTGACTTACCACGGTAGCATAGACATAGCCTAAGTGTAATTATTTAATTTGCAATGGAGTCATGGCTCCACCATGAAGTCTAGAAAATGATTTAACCAATTTAAACCTTTGCATATGAAAGTGACGCTAATACAAACTCGAAGACCTTTCAGAAGTATGAATGGCTGAACATTACCATGCCTATTGTCAGCCACCATGCCCAAGTACAGTATTGTCCTACCTTTTCCTCCTAAAGTATTACTCTTCCTGATCATCCAGAAGAATGCCCTGCAGCAGAGGCATAACTGAACAAGCCATGAACTAATTCACCTCAAAAGAAAGTCATTGCACTAAAGCTGGAATCAGTGGGCCCAATTCTCTCACTTTACACCAGTATAAATTTGGAGTCTTATCAGTGAAGAGTGTTCTACTTAACGGAAAACCTGGGTTAAGTCAGGTGTTGTCTGTCAGTAGTTATAAAATCAATTCTAAAGCAGCACTGGTTCTCACCTCTTCAAAGGAGGATTCCAAGTTCATACCAAAGGCTACTCCAATCAGTCCAAAAAGAGAGAGAGAGAAAGTCCCCATGGTCAGCTGTAAGTTCAGTCTCATCATCACATTACGGTGGCTGGAGAAGGGAGAGAGATTTAGGAGATGAACACAGATGTTTACTTGCTGTCTCGTAGTAAAGTTTTATGCAGCATGCACTACATCAGAACCGTTGATGGAGCAACTCACGCTGGTATTAGGCAACACAGAAACAAGAACTGGTGTATCAGGTGATTTTTCTCCAAAGAGACGTTTTGAAACTGCAACAGCAGTGCACATCTCAGGGAGCAGACTCTGCTTTGCAATCAGCAGGATCTAGGCTATCTGGTCACACCTGTTATAAGTATGTCTGTAAAGTAACAGTAAAAGTTTATGGAAACTTTAAAGTTTGTTTTCTTACCATTAACTGTAGGAGTTTATAAATGATTATTTAAAAGATACATTTACTGTTACCTTGCAAGTCTACTTACAAAGAAGTAGAGGGTCAGAAAATGCTGTGGACTGTAAAGCAGAGTCTACTTTGGGACACTCCAAATCCACCTCTTCTCAACTCTTGCTGGCCTTCTGATGGGAGTGTCCACTGTGAATGCGTCTAGAGGTAACTCCCCATTTGAGGAGAAGGAAAGAATATCATACACTGCTTCTCAACAGTGGCTTATATGATACACTTCAAAATGTTAAGACTGTATAAATTATTTTTAAATACAGAAAACTGAAAAAGATTATTAGTGTGTAATAACAAATTTCAGCCTTTTATTTACAAAAGTTTAGTCTTAATAAAGCTAAATATTTGATGCAAACTAAGCTGATTACTGTACCATCATGCTTAATGTGGATGCAACATTTATTGGATAGCAGAAGATGTGACCCAGAAAAATTAGGGACATGCTCTTGAAGGCAGACGCCAACACTTAAGTGCAACCTCCATGTAAGAGTCAATTCAAGTTTCAGTTTTGTTGCATTACATAGCATTTCTTCATAAATAAGTTATATTTTCCCCATGAACATCTGGGTCTTTCCTTGAACTATTACCTCCCCAGAACCACAAGGAATAAGAGCCTCCCAGTTTTGGTTCCCAATGTCTGCTCTCAGACTCTAATTCAGAAAAGGGTAAAACAGCACTAATTTCTACAAAGCTTCTGGCAGTATAACAAGTACTATGTGTCATAAGTATAGTTAACCTGTCCAGGTTGATGAAGATGATACTTTCGGAATCATCAATCAATACTCTGAGTTCACGTGCTTCATTAGCGAGATCTTCGGCTTGTCTGTAATAATTCTCCAGCAGCAGCTCCATTTCCTCTGCATGGTCAATTCCAGACATGCTCTTCTCACTGTGAGCAACAATTTGTATTTTCTAGTTAGAGATCAGCAATGCGCTTAACAACGTGTTTACATGTTCTGAAGCATGGGCCCAGAATGAAGTGACGAGGTAAAAAAAAAAACAAAAACTCCACGAGTCCTGTTTTACAACATTGCTGCAAAATCCAGTTGGGCACATGGGGAACTTTTGCTGTTACAAAGAGTGTCATGGAAAAGAAGGTGCGTGCTTTTCCAATTTCTATTAGCTGAAGAGCAAAAAAAGTCAGTTACTTTGGTCAGTAAAATGGGTAACATTTGCCATGCTATAAACATGCACAGGCAATGTATAAATATTAGTGTCCCAGCATCATATTGTGACATTTTTAAGGGAGACTGTTAATTTTCTGGTACCCTCAAATGGTGGAAGTTGACGGTAATGCTGTAACACTCCCTTCTGTCCTCCATACAGTGAGGTCTAAATTCTACACATAACATTGAAATCTACTTGGCACTTACACACGTGTTTAGTTGCACATCGACAATAACTAAAGCATTTTCGTTGAAGCATTTTGTGCACCCAGGATCTGATGACAGCAGCCCAACAGTCAGTATGTGAAACTGCTGGCACTATCCCTCTTCTTGAAGTTTGAGAGATCTCAGTCCTGCTGGATGAATCATAGGTGCCTGGTAGCATCCACAAGGCCCAGAGCACCTAGCCCCGGAGTCCCCAACCTTTCTGTGGCCAAGAGCACATTCATGTTTTCAGAAGAGTGTGGCGGGCACCAGCAATTTTTCAAGGCTTATTTTGTATTTGTACATTAAATAATACAAAAAACATCATATTTAATATTACATAGTATAGGAATCCATAAGAGAAAGGTAATTTTACATGTAAAAGGTATTAATTCAATTATTCGGCAATTACTCTTTCACCTTACCATGTGAATTTGCTCTTTTTTATCTACCTGGAAGAAAAATTAATGCGTTTTTACAAAATAAATATCACAAACAGTTTTCATCTTATTTATTTTAAAAAAGTAAAATTATTTTTTGACTGGACAGTTTTTTGGAAAAATGTAGACTAGCTGTAGCAGAAAGTGAAGCTAGTAATATTTCAGTCCTATATATAAAACATTGTTGAACTGCTGGTCCAAATATATTTATTATTCTTACTTTAACATAGATAGCGAGTTATGGTTAATTAAAAAATATTCTTTGTATTGTTACTTGTATCCGGATTTCAATAAACAAACAAACAAACATGAAAAAAAGGTAAACACAAGTTAATCATACGCGCTTATCAGCACTAAAATGGAATATAGGTATCATTAATTCACATGGTTTTTCTAATAAAGTCAGTGTGATTTTTGACACTGCATTTCTTCAGCCAATTTTTCGTAGTTGGGAGAGTAGGATGATATTCCCGTTCAGAAGCAATCGTCAAGATGGGCATCTGTAAGCAGAGATCTGTATTTTGATTTTTATGATGTTCATTGTTGAAAACAGAACTTCATATAGATAAGTGGAACCGAAATAAGATTTTATTTTGTATGCTACATTTTTTAAGGCAGGAAACTTTTTTCGGTCAACCAGATTCCAAAATTTTTTATCTGTTACGCAGGATTTTAGAACAATATCATTTTGAAGGTCCAAAATCTCCAGTTCCACGTCTTCTGTTCTTACTTGAATGAGACTCGCAACTGATGTAGCCATTTCTGTTACCTCTATTTGGCAAGTAAAAGGATTCACAAGAAAGGCAACTACAGGCTCAATGATGGTGAACTGCTGAAATCTCTTTTCAAATTGTTCCAGAAGTGTTTGAATGTGGATAACAAATGGTGATGGGTTAAAAGCACGGTCACATACCATTTTCTTCATACTTGGGAAATGTACGAGAGACTTCGTCTTCATATGTGACATCCACAAGATCAGTTTTTGCTTTGAATGATTTTACAGAACCTATCATTTGAGCCACATGTTTGTTTCTTCCCTGGAGCTCAAGATTTAAAATGTTCAATTTGTCCGTGATGTCGGCAAGAAAAGCCAAGTCCATTAACCAGCTGGAGTCTTCTAGTTGCTCAAAGTTCTGATTTGTGGACTTCAGAAATTCTTTGATCTCTTCAATTAGGCTTAAAAAACATGCAAGAACTTTACCTTTGCTCAGCCATCGTACTTCTGTGTGCAAGAAAAGATCAGATTGTTTATCATCAACATCTTCCAACAGGGCCTTAAAAAGTCGGTGTTGCAAATGTTTCGCTCAAATAGAGTTAATTATTTTAATAACAATATTCATGACATGTTGAAAAGAAAGAACTTTGATGCACAAAGCTTCTTGGTGCATAACGCAATGATAAGATAAAGTTCAGAAAGGATTCATTCTTCTTGCAGAGTGCAATGAATCCATTGGCGCTGCCCATCATTGCTGGTGCCCCATCAATGGTAATCGCAGACAGCTTGTGTAGTGGCATACTAATTGATGTTGCGTATGATTTGAATAAATTATAGCTATCCTCACCCTTTGTTCACCCTTTCATAGGCAATACTTTTAGTAACTCTTCTTTTACGGTGAAGTCACTAAATACCATCATAACTGCTAACTGCACTGTATCCAATATATCTGTCAACTCATCGAACTGCAGTGAAAACCAGTCACATATTTCCAAGTCATCCTTTAGCTGAGTTTGCAGGTCACTTAAAATTGCACGTATCCTCCTCGTAACTGTGTTGTCTGATAACTGCATATCTTGTAATGCTGACAAAATCTCACGCTTGTTAGGAAATCCTTGAAACAGGCAATCAGCACCAGTTAAAAATACATCCTTCAACAATTCACCATCTTGAAAGGGTTTTTTCTTCTCTGCGAGCAGATGAGCAATTTTAAAGGAGGCAATAGTAGCACTTTTAGACTTTTACCTCTTGTCTAGTGAAAACAGATTGCTGGGCACATAGAAGAAAATTAATCAACTCAAATCAAACCTTTCTCAACTCAGATTTAAGTGGATGGCTAATGTCAAAAGAACCGTGATTAGTTTGGAAATGGCGTTCGACATTATGTTTCTTCGGCACTGCAACAGTACCACCGCACAATAAGCAAACACATTTCCCTTTATTTTCAATAAAACAATAGGATTCTTCCCACTCTGCACTGATATAATACATACGTTGTCTTTTATTTGAACCGCTCATTTTGGGGCAAAATGTTAAAAAAAACAATAAATTGCAAAGCACGAGAAAACAGCAGTATCAGTGCAGCGGAAGAATACTCACATACAGGGCTGGCTCCAGGCACCAGCGGAGCAAGCACATGCCTGGGGCGTCACACGCTAAGGGGCGGCATTCTGTCCATTCTTGGGGTGGCAGAGTCTGGGTGTGTGTGTGTGGTGGGTTGTTTTTTTTTTTTTGGCAGTTCTGGGCAGCGCAGAGAGAAGCTGTGGCCCTGCGCCTGCCGGGGACAGAGAACACTGGTGCCCGCAGCCTGCAGCCCTCTAGTTCTCTGTCCCTGGCAGGCACGGGGCCGCGGCTTCTCTTCCCTGCTGGGCACTACTTTTCACACCGTGTCGCTAGGCGGGCGCACATAAATGCCCTGGCGGGCACCCATGGGCACCACATTGGGGACTACTGACCTAGCCAGTCACCTTCTCTAGAACAGGCATTCAAGTTTCTGTAGTTATCTTTTTGGATCTTTCTTTTGACTAGGCAAACAGTAAGGTCTTTGAGAGCCACGATGGCCCTCTTGTATTTTTAAGACGTCAAGAAAAACTTGGAATAAACCCCCATCCCTCTTTTTCACCCAGTGGCATGACCTTAACTGCACTATTTGCCAGGAGGGACTGGGTACCCTCCAATGTCTCCTATGGATACTGCTGAACTTGCTTACCTTATCAAGGAGCAATTTAAAGGAGTCTCTCTGAAGCTGTTTTTCCTTAAACTCATCTCTAGACCCACACCTAAGGACTCATGTGTCTGAGGTAACTAGGGCCTCTGGAAGGGGTGGGATAAAAGGACCCTAGTCTCTCTCCTAAAGAGAGGGTCCCTTTGAGGTGGGCTGGCTATTCACTTCCTAACCTTCCAAACATAGAGGTTTCAGTTGCACGTCATAAGGGGATGGTGGTAGTCTTAGAAGTCTTCAGTTTCTGGTGGCAGACATTGTCTGTACCAAGCACCCAAAATCCAGTTCTAGTTGGCTTGATGGTGAATGCCTTTAAATTTCTCTATAGCCATAGAAAGAGGAGGACTGAACAACAGACTCAAAGGATTTAAAAAAGTAGCTTCCAACATCTTTGCTTTCATGAAATTAGTCTCTACCTTCCCCCACCACTCCAAAAAAGGCTCCCTCCGTCCTACAAGCCCTTGATGCTTGGCTGTATCGCCACATGAAGATATGATGAACATAGCTTTCTGTCTATAAGCACCAATGCTTGAGTCAATGTGCGAGAGTACACTGATGGCATCAATACACCTCACGTCCAGCTTCCTCCATGCCTTCTCAGGTACACTTCTTGATTTCGCACATTGTGTCCCTTCACACCCCACCTTTTGGATAATTATGGTCTATTTAGATTTGAAGCTGTGCAGGGCAGGGAGCTATATCATGCATTTGGTGCTGTACAAATAATACTAAGTTGCCATGAAGCGTGGGGTGGAACTGTCATTTGGCATTATTTGCATGGGAACTGAGGCAGGAAGCCAGTTTGCTCTTAGCTTCAAGTCGGATATGCCAATAAGTCAGTATGCCCTGGATTTTTAAGTAAGGGTCAGACCAGCAGCTCATCGTTAATATGGGACATATGGTTGGTTATTTTTGTTGTTGTTAAAGTGGCCACTGATGTGCGCATGATATTGTATCAGCACACAGGAGGGATGACATGTGGCTATTCCAGACGTGCGGTTCTCTTGGGATGCTATACAACAACGCTAATTTATGTACTGATAGTGGCTATGAAAACAGGGCTAAGTGCTACTACAGTGGGGTTACATATCCATCAAGGGAGCGCTGCTCGTGGGCACAGTAAGCTTCAAGGCTAGCGTGCCAGCTTATATATAGGGAGGTAGGGCAACTGATCCACCTCAGACCAATTTTCAGTGGGGTTCTTTATTTCATTTGTGAAATATTGTTTTTTTTTCTCTCTAAAAACGTATCTTAAAAGTTTTGTCTCAACTGGAAACTGACATCTCCATTTCTCCTTCTGTTTCCCCATTCAGTCATGGTTGTCTTTTCCTCCCCTTTCCATCTCATGTTCACCAAGGCTGGCCAGCTAAGTCAAACAGTGGATGAAGAGCACCTTCGATGCTTCCACCCTAGTATCAGTAATGCTGCTAACACCATGCTCACACTGTGATGATGCGGTAAAACACCTTTTAAAAAGAGGTAAAGCATTATGGTTTAAAAACATTGTACAGATCTTTTTTTCGAGGGGAGGGGAGAGAAGCAATCTAATCTGGTATTCACGTTGTCCTTGGACAAGACACATTTTAAAAAGTGTTCTGGATTACCCAATTTTACTTACAATACTTGTGGATCCGTCCATTTAGTTAGACAGAGCTCTTCTATTAATTCCTCTTCATCCAAGATTTCCAGGATTGTTTCTTTGAAAACTTTAAGATCTGTTTCTAATTCTGACAAACTAAAGAAAAAACAAACAGGCAATCCCATTTGCATTACTGTAGAGGTAATATTTTCATTTTCCCTGGATCTTTACAGAATGAGTCACTGGGGAAGTTTCTTAGAAAATTTAAATCCCTTTTGCATTTAGCCATGGTACTGGTCAATTCTGGGACCAGCTGCCCCAAAATCACCAAAACCTTAACTGAAAAGAATTTAACTGTGTATTCTGGACATATTTCAAGGGTTCATGAGCACTCAGAGAAACAAGTAATTTGATTCAGACAATTGTATTGTCTGTTGTATTGACACACAGCATAGCCCAATAAGTTCATGTGTACTCAAATGGTTTGAACTCCTGATTTTACATTACAATGTACATATTAAATTGCCTGGTATTAATTTTTTTACATTATGCACAGTTTTAGAAGGTAGACTACAAATGCCACAAAGTGGGATTTCATTTTTTTCCAACTAGATAGTTCATGCATTTGAATTTACAATGACAAATAAGTTGCACAACTCAAAAGTAAAGTTTTCTAGGAAATGTATACTGTACACAATTTTCTGAAGTTCAGCTATATTCCCCATTGCTTACTCTTATTTACCTCTTGCCATTTTGTAGCAAAATGTGTAGTTTACTTCTATCCACAGACAGTAGTTTGGGGTCCACTAGCGCTTCCAGCGTCTCAATGATCTGAGATTGCAAAATGTTAAGTCTCCCTTGCAGATTGCTGATCTAGATAATAACATGATCCTTCATAAGAATTAAAATAATCCTTTTAGAATGGTTTGGGCAACTGACTTCTCTTACTGAACACAGAATTCACTGTTACAATCAGGTATGCAATCTACTTTTTCAATACACAGGAGCTATCTGGAATACAGCTAGCATTGACAAGAAAAAGTTTACCCACCGCAATATTTTTTGAACAAAATGAATTTCCATAAAATGGAAACATTACGCCAACTACTGAATAAACATGATATGAGGTTCATGTGTCTGAAATCTGGTCAACCTTAAATGGTGTCATATTTCCATTAACATTCATAGACTTTAAGGCCAGAAGGGACTATCAGGATCAACTAGTCCGGGTCTCAACAATTTTTTTTTGGTGGCTGCAAATTGTGGCCACTAACTCTTGCTCATGGCCGTTCTGACAATTTTTCCTAAAATATTTAATTAACTTTATGAAAAACAAATATGCACTTATACATATCCAAATCATTGTAATTTATTGATGCAGGGTATTTTTGCAGACTCAATAATAAAAATAATGTACAGTTGTCTCTATTCTTTACTGGAGTAAGCAGAACAGAAAAACAAATAAGGTGGCTTTGCATATTCTTGTCTTTTTGTTGTTGTTTCTTTTGCTTTTTTAAAAAGATTTCCCACCTAGTAAGTCTGCTGTGAAAATTGATATTTGGGTGTTTGTTAACATCACTCTTCACACCAGACTTACTAACTAGCTGGGAGGGAGTGAAGAGTGATGTTAACAAACACCCAAATATCAATTTTCACAGCAGACTTACTCAGCCCTGGCAAGCCAAGGGACAAAGTCCTGGATGGGGAGGTGGGTAGGGAGGCAAGGGGGGGCAGAGGCAATGCAAGGGGGTGGTAAGCCCAGGGCCAGCACCTGCTGCAGTGAGGCCGGGGTCCAGGGCTAGAGCCAATGTTCCCTCTAATTGTTTACATCTGTGTGGAATGAATTTTGTTATGTGCCCCAATATGGAGGTGATGTGTGGCAGGGGTGGGGCCGAGGGGTTCACAGTGTGGGAGGGGACAGAGGGATGGAGCGTGGGGAGGGCTGATGGCTCTGGCTGGGGGTGCGGGCTCTGGGGTGGGGCTGGGCATGAGAGGTTTGGGGTGCAAGCTGCCAGGACTTCCCCCAGCCCTCTCTTGTCAGAGCATCCCAGGGCTGGGGGACAGTGCCACTCCCCACTGGGGCAGCTCTGGGGCTGGGGCCAGGGGAGAGGCGCCTCTCCCTGGCTGGGGCGGGGCCGCAGAAGAGGCGCCTCTCCCCACCTGTGCAGCTCTTGATAGCCTGCGCAGTTTAGAGGGAATTTAGGCCAAAGCCCGAAGTCCAACGACTGGAGCCTGCTGCCCCAGGGCTGAAGCCTGAGCCACCCAACCCCCAAGAAGGTAGAGAACTCATTGGCTGTCTGCTCTTCCAGTATTCATGGCTCCAGAGGGGGGCAAGAGCCAACCCCTGCTGATGGCCCTGGGGGGACAGGCCACTGCTTTGCCCAACTTGTTACACCCACGGCCACAAAAAAAGCCCCTGGTGGTCGCATTCAGGAAATGCTGATCTAGTCTGACCAACTGCATAACACAGGCCAGAGAACCTCCCCCAGTAATTTCAGCATCAAACCGTAACTTTTATATTTCAGCATATATCTGTCAATATTGATTTTAAAACTTCAAGTGACGAAAAATCCATCATGCCCCTTAGTAATTTTTTCCAATAGTTCATTCTCACTGTTAAATGTTCGTCTAGATCCCCCCATAACCAAAAGAAACAACAACAAAAAAAGGAAAAGAGGAAAAAAAAAAAAAAAAGCCCAAAGCAAACCCAAAATATTCCTAAAAATGTAACTAAATATTTCCAGAACAGAAAATTATACGGTCATTCCCATGAAACAATATTTTCAAAAGTAGTTAAAAGTAACCAGCAGCTCACCCAATATTGCAGTATTGCTTCTATGGCTCTAAATTCAAAGGGCAAGGCATATGTAACTAGCTGACCTTCTCCAGACAGCTGAGATGCTAGTTCTTGGAACAGCCAGTGCTCCATATTCAAATTGCGATAATCTAGTATCAGAAGAAACTCTGGTGTTACCACAGCCTTCAAAAACTGAAAAAGAGAATGCAGTTAGGCAGCCAGCTAATACTTTACGGAGGTTACTAATTTTCTCATTGCCACTTAATGCATTTTAGAGTTCAGTTTTCAATAAAACCACTTCCCATAAGGGGACTGTTATGATAAAACTTTTGTTTTTATTTATCTAGATTTTTATGCCACACTCGTGTCCAGGGTACCCAACTGTCTATCTTCCACGGTCATTCCCCTCAACCCCCAAAGTATATGGACTGGACTGACATCAGAAGCACTTCCTTTAGTGTACTCCAGGAGGCTTCTGGAGTTACTGCAGAGACAGGAGGAAAGAAAGATTCTCCAAATTTTTAGCTCTGCTCATCCTGTGCCTCTAAAAATTCTCATCATGCCCACAAAGGGAAAAATTTTGGCCCTCTTGAATAGAGATGGTCATCCTACAAAAGACAAGAAGCGCATTATTATGAAGTGCTTCTGCTCGCTAGATATTCAGTGCCAGGGTTATCTGTAAGGACAGATGCATAATATTATATCCAGGCCATAGATAGCCAATATTAAAATGGCCCCTGGATCTCACTAGAACATGACTGTATTGGCAATTGAGACACAGTTCAAGTGTATTTTAATGTCTATTGACATCTATAAACAGATTTAAGACCCACTGAAGTTAATGAAAATAAAAATATCACTTTACCTCCATTCTAATGATGATCCTGTTGTTTCTAGTTGCAATGCTCATTAGATGCTGAAATCTTAGATCTCGTGCTTGAAGACCCAGTTCCTGGTACAATTCTGTTTTCTTTCTTTCTACCAAGAAGACATTTAAAAAGAAAAATCATATCTGCGAAAAGTAATGTGTTTTATAATTATGGATTAGTCTGTTTTGCAATCCCAGAAAGAATCTAACTCTATAGTGCTTCCCCCCTTGATCACCCAATATAATTCTGTCTAGCACAGCAAAATAGTCAGAACTTGGGTGGGAAGAGAAGTCCCTTTGTTTATTAAGAAAGAAAAGTCTAAAAGTAGCCAAAATAACAGGCAAATACAGTATGTTTCATGTTAGAAGAACACATTAGCAAAGCTGAGTTGAGAAAGCACGTGTTATGTCACAAAAGTATCCCAAAAAAGGAAATATATACTGGTGGTGGACTGGGACAAAGAGGAAAAGGATGAAAGCAAAACGGAACCACACATGACACATGGTAGTCATACTGCTTAATGCACTATTGGAAGGTGCTCAGATACTACTGTGATGAATGCGGTATAAGAAGTTGTGTAGAATAGACAAGCAAAACCAAGGGAAATGCTGCAACACCAAGAGTTATCTAAACCCACAAAAGCTTCATGAATTGAACCCTCTGTCCAGTATAAACTTCCACTTAGGCAATTCTATATAGCACAAAAGAGCAAACAGGAAAAGAAAATGAAAACTACCTACCAAAAGAGGTAATATTTCCTTCCTTGTCAAATTTCATCTAAAGGGAGGAAAAAAGAAAAGAGAAGACCAGAAGTAGGCATTTTGTTCTCACAAAGCTGCTATAACGTACAGGAAAATAATTGTGTGAAATTGCTTATATTTGCTTTGAATTCTAGTGGGGGTGAATCAGTTCACTTATTAAGGAGGGGCAAGTTATGCTACCCCTTGTCTCTGCTAATACTCCTCAGGTAATTATGAATACCTTACACAACATATTTCAGGTCATTTGAACATGTGGATGCTACACATGGTACCTGGAAAGCAGCACCGATTACAATATTTTTCAGACGTACACCAATTAAGTTCAGAACTATATATTTGGCTCACACAGATATCTACTTCTCAGGAGGAATTTTTTTTTTTTTGAACAGAGAATGAGATTTTTGTGTTGGCACAAGAGGGGCTCTTTACATTTTGTGTTTCAGGTTTTCTTGTTTCATCTTGTGTTGTTTTAGCTGAACAATTTACAAGGCAAAGGGCAACAACTGTGGGGGGCTATTCACTCCCTGATTTTTGAAAGGTATTTACTATGTAATTCCACTATGTGTAAGTGAAAGAACAGATAGCATTCTAATGTAACAAAGCAAGGAATAATTTGTTTCTAACATCTTATTTATTTTTCATTTATATTCCAAAGTATTAACATAACATTAGTATTTTCTGTAAACTTAAAGTCATTGGAAAAACTGCAAGAATTGATTTGATCAAAGCTTTTTCACTTTTGCCTTGAAATCTGTAGCTTATTCAAGAGCTATTCATAATTTGTTTTCAAAGCCAGTAGTTGTATATATGAAGAAACAACTATGTGGTCCCCATTGTAGGATCAAGACCTATATGTGTTCCGATGCCCTCAACTGCCTGGTGTTACATCTGCTTTCACATGCGATCACATTATCTTCCAGTGGCAAATGAGGAAGTTGTGAACAGATTGTTCACTATAAATGGCTAGCCTAGTTCTCTCAGCTGCATACTTATAAAAAGATATTCTTCCTTCAACCATTGGCTATCCTATATTTCAGCTACCACATTCCATTACATTAATAAGAAAAAAAAAGGCAAAAATAGTGTATTTTTAATAGTGAACGCATGTATTTTACAACAATTCTTCAAGAATTAAACTGTGTCTTCATGATTAAATTGTGATTTAACAAGAATTATCTTCTCATAAGAAAAGCATCTTGGTATTTTGCTAGCACATTATAATACTGTTGCAAATATATCCACATAAACATTACTTTCCCTCAAATTAGGGTTTTTAAAACAGTTATTTAGTAATATCCACTAATTATCAACACATCATGGAGAACGACCAGTTCTGTCAAATAACAGTTTGAGAAAAACACATGCTGATTAGCTTGGAAAAACTGTCCTTTCTTGAAAACTTTCAATACACTTACCACTGCAAACACAGGGACTACACTGGCTAAGGTGGCTTGAGAGGCCTCTGTCGCTGAGTGTCGACCCAATTCATCTGAAGAAAGACACACAGCAGTTATAATTTTCTATTACCAGCACACGGTCTTTTGATAAATACATATTTTTTTTCTTCTCTTGTACACTAGGTGGAAAACTGTCATAAGGAACCCAGGTTTCAGAGGAACAGCCGTGTTAGTCTGTATTCGCAAAAAGAAAAGGAGTACTTGTGGCACCTTAGAGACTAACCAATTTATTTGAGCATGAGCTTTCGTGAGCTACAGCTCACTTCATCAGATGCATACCGTGGAAACTGCAGCAGACTTTATATACACACAGAGAATATGAAACAATACCTCCTCCCACCCCACTGTCCTGCTGGTAATAGCTTATCTAAAGTGATCAACAGGTGGGCCATTTCCAGCACAAAATTTTGCTTTAAAAAAAACCAATCTGCTCATTTAAGAGGCATAGTCAACTTAAAATCTAATAAAACTACAATTCCTTGAGCCAACGTTTGTGGCTTTATGACCAGTTTTCTTATTCAGAATGTTTCTCCCCATTATTGTGTGAAAGACCCACACAAACAGGAGAAACTGACTATACCTAAAGTGCCATCAAGTCTGCAAAGTAAACACATTTCCTTTCCCTGTTTGTGATAATCTTATGTTTTACTTGCAACAATAATAGGTAAAAAAATAGAAATTAGATTAAATTGGGGTATCCTTTAAGAACCCAAAGCAGTTGCAATAAAGAACAACACCCCAGTCCTACAATGAGCTCTGTGTAGCTATACAAGTCTGCCTGCATGAAGTTCACTGCGGGGACTGGGGCCTACATTTGTTGAGCAAATTAGTTATTTGTGGACTGTGGTAATGAATAATAATACCTAGTGCTTATATAGTGCTTTTCAACAGTAGATCACAGTGTTTTACAAAGCAGGTCAGTATCATTATGCCATTTTACAGACAGGGAACTGGAAGCATGAAGAAATGAAGCGACTTGCCCAAGGTCACCCAACAGGCCTGTGGCAAAGCAGGGTATAAAACGGAGATCTAGGCCACCTTGCCTCCCTATATAACAGTAAGGCTCTACAAACGTTCACATGCTTTGTGCATAGTAGTCCCACTGACGTCAGCGAGACTACCATTTGTTTGAATGTAAAAAAGTGAGTGTTTGCAGGATGGAGGCCTTAATGTGCATTTCATACTGCATACGATGTTGATAAATGACTGACAGGTTCAGCCAGAACTTCAAAGGAGCAGTGTGTCCATTTCCTTAGTTGACTGTTAAATATGTAGACATAAGCCCATTTGTGGTTTAGCTGGATGTTACTCGAACAGAGTTTGGAAATTATAGCAGTGGCCTTAATCCTGCCATTGACTGTGTGTGGGCCACCCCTCTGCCTTATTTGCCCCCACTACACAGCTCCCAAGCAGTCAATTGCAGAATCAGGTCCACGATTTACAATTAGGCACCTAAATAAAAGCGGCCTGCTTTTCAAAAGAGCCGAGCACCCACAACTCCAAAATTCAAGCCATTTATTTAAGGGTTAGGCACCTAGAGATGAAATTCTGGCCTAATACTTCAGGAAGAAATAACAGTTTTTGCATCCACTGAGTGCTTACAAATTTTAACTAATGTCCCGATTCTACAGGGACAGTCCCGATATTTGGGGCTTTGTCTTATATAGGTACTTATCCCCCCCCCCCCCCCCCCCGATTTTTCTACAGTTGCTGTCTGGTCCCCCTAAAACACGCACACTGATAGACTTATAACTACCTATTCCCTGGAGCCACTTCCAGGCCTGAACAGGGTGGAACAATAACTGTACGCCCCATAGGGTGACCAGACAGCAAGTGTGAAAAATCGGGGTGGGTGGCGGTATAAGACAAAGTCCCAACTATCGGGACGCCCGGTCGCCCTCGCCCCGCAGTGGGGAGGAATACTGCCCCGTGCCCCCTGGATTCAAGGCTTGCTCGGGAGGATGAGCGCCGCGCTGGGTCTATAAAAGCCTCTTCCCCGCCTCGCAGTGCCAGCCCCTGCCCTGCCGCCAGAGCAGCCAAGTCCCGGGGCCAGGAGAAGCGCCCGGGGGTGACGCGAGAGGAGGAAACCAAAGGTGGGGCTTCCACTCCAGAGCCGGCCCGCCTCCCCCCGGCCGGGCAGCAACCAGGGCCGGCTCGGCCGCCTGCAGGGCCCCCACTCCCAGGGCACGACTTACTTGCCCAGCGCCACGGCTGCCCGCGGGGAGCGGCGGCCCCCAGCCGCGGCCCAGGCCCGGGAGCCGCGCAGCAGGGACGCCCGCCGCCGCCCAGCGGACGAGCCCGCCCGGCCGTCGCGAGCAGGCGGCGGCGGCGGCAGCAGCAGCCCCAGCGGCCCAGCGAGGCGGGGAGGAGCCAGCGGCTGAACATGGGCAGGCTCTGGGGGGGCGAGCGGGCCCCGGCTCCCGGCCGCTTGCGGGACCCAGAGGCTCCGGCCTGGCTGCCCACACGCGGGAGCCGGGCGGAGGAGGAGCCGCGCGGATTAAGCCCCGGCCCCGGGGCGGGGTCTCGTGGTGGGGAGCCGCGGGCGGGGGCGGGAGCGGGGGAAGCCCGCGGGCTTGCAATGCCGAGCCCTAGGTCCCCGAGCGAGGGGAGCGCCCCACTGCCTTCTCCGCACCGATCATTTGCTAACCCGTAGCCCCCTGCAGCACCCTCGGGCCTGACCGCTCCCAAAGGTAAGGGGCCGACTGGAGCCCTCCTGGCCAGGCGAGGAAACCCAGGCACGGAGAAGCTGAATGACGCGCACAAGGTCACACGGAGAAACCGGTGGCCCCGCTGGGCGGGAGAGACCCCACCTGTCCGGATCTCGCTCTTGTACCCTTTCCAACGGGCTCCTAAGCCACCGTTGTAATGACCGTGTCGCCCCCAGAGTCACCTGCCCCATGTCAAGCTTTTCTTCACTAGGCATTTTCATGGCCAATTTGCCCCCAAAGTTGAAAGTTTTTTTCCCTTCTTCAAAAGAAGCTTTTGCATAAAGCTAAAGATGGAGCAGTCCCCCCACCCCATTAATTTGAAAAAGAAAAATCTGTAACTGGTGTTTGCCAGCCAAATATTGCAGCCTCGACTGAGGGCCTCTGGTTCTACAAGCTGCTCCTTGTCAGTGCAGGATCTTCCCATATGGATGGCAGGACTGGGATCTGGGGTGCGAACACCTGACAATGAAATGGGATGTTCTTAATTTTTTCCCAGTTTGAGCTCAGCACAGCTATTTTGCCCTATCCAAAGATCTTGTAAGCATATTTAACCAAATAAATTTTGAACGTACATTTAAGCACCAAGATGAACTGGTCAGTTGAAGCTCAAGTTAAATTAGGGTTTAGCTACACTTGAAAGTTACTGAGGATTAGGTCAGGGTGTGAATTTAAAGCTGTTCCTGAGTGACTCCAGCTGTGGGCACACTTAACAGCTGAACAGGAAAGACTGTGTGGCGAGGCCCTCAGTAACCTACCCCTCCTCCCCCATTACCAAATACTGCTTTTTAAATATTTTATTGTGTGCAAAGCTCTAATGAAAATACTGAAAAGGAATTCCCTTTCTTTCATCTCCACTCAAGCCACATAGATTGGAATTAACGAAATCCTCCCACCCAAACCAAATCCTTTAGCAATATATTTATCATCAATGTTGCACTTAGAAATTCCTGTAGTATTAAATAGAGAAAGTGGAGCCAAGCTGGAAACGTAGATTACTAATTAAATATGAGCCTCAGTTGACCAGCTGCTGCTTATAGTTATTATACTATATTTCTTAGAATCAAGAACTGCAAATACCCTGAGCTGTGGTCCCCTTAGGAACTGTGGCCTTTGTTCAGTAAGGGTGCCTAAGCATGTGCCTAACTTCAAGCATATGCTTATATGCTTAAGTGTTATCCTGAATAGTGATGAACATAAGGACATGCAGTAAGTGCTTTACTCAATCAGGCCCTGCAACTTTGGAGGTAAGAGAACTGGGGCCAAATTCTGCTCTCAATTGAGTTATGTTAAACTACTTACACAGGTGTAATGGACAGCAGAATTTGGCCCCAGCCAGCTCTCAGTTCCCCTGCCACCGCCTCTTTTTGAAGACATTTACAGCTGTGTATAGGGGTATGAAACATACCAAATCAAAATGACAGTGTTTTACAGTCACTATGCACAAGTGCAAATTACTTCACAAGGTGCAAGGCCATGACGAAGCAGGTTCACAGTCCTCCGTTCCTATACAGTGATATGTATACTGAAGTCAAGGGAGTTATTCCAGCTTGAACTCAAATGCATTTGAAAGGAGAATTTGGCTGCTGGTTTAGGGCTTGATTCAAAGCCCACTGAAACAAATGGCAGTCTTTTAGCCTTAATTTTGTTGGGTCACAGTAGGTGGCAGTATGTGCAACAGTATTGAATTTAATAATCTTGGATACCAGGAACACTTTAAACAAAACAAAACATGGCAATACCAAGCACTGTAAAAGATAATGCAAGAGAGTGGGAAAGTAAGTTAACATGCACCATTTCCTGGAAGTGACTGCTACTCGCGTAGAATCTGTAGAGAAGCACCTGAATAAGTAGAATGCAAACACTGGGAGAGTATTTAAAGAGTTTATATCGGAAATTATATTTAGCAAATTTGAAAGAAATCCTTGGCAATTATAAAAGGAAAGCTGTTGTTCTTTAATCTGCATGAGGACAAAAGGGAAAAATGTTGGGTTTGTTTGTTCGTTTTTTTTCATCCATTCTCCTGGATGCTTTCATAATAAATAAAAATAGACTGTCAGAACTAAAATCAACAGCAAAAATATCATTAGTCCACATGATTTCATATAAAATATTTGCTCATCACAATTATATTAATTGTAAAATCCTTATGTCTCATCAATGACTCCAGCATCTCCTTCTCCTAATACTCACAGAAAAAGACAGGCTTTACAGAGTGTCTACAAGTTTGTTAAATCTGGGTTCTGGTGGACCCAGTAAATCTAGAGTCATCTCTCTCTCTCCTTTGAGGCCATGATCATGCAACTTGTTCCATGCTGGTGGACCCCGTAGTTCACGAGGTACCTCATTATCTTGAATGGGTTCTCTATGGGCACAGAGGTCCTCCCACAAAGAATGAATTGAAGAATCAGGCCTAAACACAGGTAGACATAGCTCAAGCACCTACACTGATTGCAACTATGGCAGTCTTGCCTAGAGAGGTGTCTTCAGATAAACAGGACGCATTTATAGTTTTAGGGTGAAGCCAACACCTTGAACTCAATAATAGCCAGTTGAGCATTGTTGTAATGTGTAATATAATGTAATGAAATGTTGCTGTGTAATAGATATATATGGAGATCTAGATGCAGCCTTGATACTTTCAAGATAGGCATGAATTGTCAGCTTAGCTTACTGATGTGCTGATTACAGCTGCTTTTTTAGCCCGGTTTACACTGCAAGTTTAGGTTGAATTTAGCAGCGTTAGATCGATTTAACCCTGCACCCATCCACACAACGAACCATTTTTGTCGACTTAATGGGCTCTTAAAATCAAGTTCTGTACTCCTCCCCGACAAGGGGATTAGCGCTGAAATCGACATCGCCGGGTCAAATTTGGGTTAGTGTGGACGCAATTCGATGGTATTGGCCTCCGGGAGCAATCCCACAGTGCTCCATTGTGACCGCTCTAGACAGCACTCTCAACTTGGATGCACTGGCCAGGTAGACAGGAAAAGCCCTTGTGAACTTTTGAATTTCATTTCCTGTTTGGCCAGTGTGGCGAGCTCATCAGCAGAGCTGACCATGGAGTCCCAGAATCGCAAAAGAGCTCCAGCATGGACCGAACGGGAGGTATTGGATCTGATTGCTGTATGGGGAGATGAATCTGTGCTATCAGAACTCCATTCCAAAAGACAAAATGCCAAAATATTTGAAAAAATCTCCAAGGGCATGAAGGACAGAAGCTATCACAGGGACCTGCAGCCGTGCTGCATGAAACTTAAGGAGCTTAGGCAAGCCTACTAAAAAACCCAAGAGGCAAATGCCTGCTCAGGGTCAGAGCCCCAGACATGCCTCTTCTACGATGAGCTGCATGCAATTCTAGGGGGTGCCCCTACCATTGCTCCACCCCTGTACATGGACTCCTGCAAGGGGGGAGTCTCACGCAAAAGTGTTGAGGATTTTGGGGACGAGGAAGATGATAGCACACACCAGGCAAGCGGAGAAACCGTTCTCCCCAACAGCTTGGAAATGTTTATCAACCTGGGCTCTCGGACCTTGAAGGCAGAGAAGGCATCTCTGGTGAGTGTACCTTTGTATATATAATACACGGTTTAAAAACAGGTGTGTTTAATGATTAATTTGCCCTGAAGACTTGGGATGCATTTGCGGCCAGTACAGCTACTGGAAAAGTTTGTTAACGTGTCTGGGGATGGGGCAGAAATCCTCCAGGGACATCTCAATGAAGCTGTCCTGGAGGTACTCCCAAAGCCTTTGCAAAAGGTTTCTGGGGCGGGCAACCTTATTGCTTCCTCCATGGTAGGACACTTTACCATGGCAGGCCAGTAGCACGTAGTCTGGAATCATTGCATAAGGAAGTATGGCAGTGTGTGGTCCCGGTGTTTGCTGTCATTCAAGCAACATCCATTCTTTATCTCTCTGTGTTATCCTTAGAGTGTTATCATTCATGGTCATCTGGTTGAAATAGGGGAATTTTATTAAGGGGACATCAGAGGTGTTCCTACTGGGCTGTTTGCTTGTGGCTGAAAAGAAATCATCCCTGCTGTTAGCAACGTGGTGAGGGGAGGGGTGAAGCTATCCCAGAGAATTGGGTGTGGGGAATGTTTAGTTGGGTTCGTGCTATGTGTTAACCCAAAAACATCAGCCCCTTCTTTTAAATGGCCAATGTGTCTTTTTCAGGTTTAGTCTCCCTTTTTTTCCTCCCACAGCTGCAAATGTTTCAACGCTGCAACAAGCATCTCCGGGCCAGAGGCTAGCACAGATAAGAAGGCAAAAAACTCACACTCGCGATGAAATGTTCTCTGAGCTTATGCAGTCCATCCAAACTAAAAGAGCCCAGTAGAATGCATGGAGGCAGACAATGGCAGAGTCCAGGAAAGTACAAAATAAACTCGAGGACAGATGGCTAGAGTAACAGGAGAGGGGGCAGCAGCATGATGAAAGGAGGCAGGATGCAATGCTGAGGCTACTGAAGGATCAAACTGATATGCTCCGGCTTATGGTTGAGGTGCAGGAAAGGCACAATCCGCCACTGCAGCCCCTGTGTAACCAACTGCCCTCCTCCCCAAGTTCCATAGCCTCCTCACCCAGATACCCAAGAACGCAGTGAGGGGGCCTCAGGTCACCCAACCACTCCACCCCAAAGGACTGCCCAAGCAACAGAAGGCTGGCATTCAATAAGTTTTGAAATGCAGTGTGGGCTTGTCCTTCCCTTCTCCCCCACCCCTGCCAGGCTACCTTGGCAGTTATCCCCCTATTTGTGTGACAAATTAATAAAGAATGCTTGATTTTGAAACAACAGTGACTTTATTGCCTCTGCAAGCGGTGATCAGAGGGGGGGGGGGAGGGCGGTTGGCTTACAGGGAAGTTGAGTGAACCAAGGGGGTGGGTTTTCATCAAGGAGAAACAAACAGAACTGTCACTCCGTAGCCTGGTCAGCCATGAAACTGGTTTTCAAAGCTTCTCTGATGCGCAGTGCGCCCTGC